TTGGTTTGTTTTACCCTGAGAAATCCTGCCTCCTCACCAGCAGGAAGAAAAGGACCCAGGTAGGATCAAGCCCCACATCCCTGGAGGCAATCACATGCAGGAGAGCAGGTCACATCAACACAACAGCTTCTAAATGGTGTCCAAATAAAGGGTCAAGGAGAACATCTCTGTACCAGTAATGGGCTGGCTATGAGCTGGAAACATTCCTATACTTATGTTGCTATAGGTGTGCTGTTTGTTCAGAACAAATGCCCTTTTTATTTATCAAAAATAGCTGTTTTGTCTTTTTAAAATCATCTCCAGAACAGTTCATGAAAGCTCAGGAACCTGCCATCACAAGGCCACAATCCCTATATGATATTACGAAGTTTGTGATGTAATGAAAATTTAGGTTCTTCCACTGAAAGCTCAGCCACAACTTTTGGACTTTATTTTTAATTTTTAATAACTATCAATAGCTTATGGGGAATTAAATCAGACAGAATCAGACCTCCAGTCTGAGTCTTCACATTTAAACTTTTGCCAAGATCCCTTCCCACAGCTATACAGCATATTGGCAAGTGAAGATATACCTGAGTGTATTCACAGCTATTTAATGCTCCTTTGCATCAGTTAAAAATGAGTTCCCTCCTTTTGGCATCACAGTTTGAAACTGCCTGTTTGATATTCTGATGGATTAATTTTTTCTGGCTGAGAGAAGCACGCACAGCAACCTTGAAGGCTTCGTGCAGTGAATCAAACCAGCAGAGACTCATCACAGCCTCACTTCGAGGAGATCTCTCCTTTAACAGGAAGAGACAGAGCACATAGCAACAGCAGCTTTTCATGTTTCAGGCTTCAGGTTTGCTTTTTGTCAAGAGCTTTGGGGAACATTGGCGATACCATACAGCTAACAAGGTAACTTGAAAGGGAACAAAGCATCTTTCATTAAAAACAGCTCTTGGTTAGAAAGGAAATAAAACATTTCCTGTATGTTCAACTGCAACCAAGGTGCCAAGATGCAGCGGTAGATAATGGAACAATCTGAAAGAATACATTGTTGCTGTATCCTGGAGATATTTGCCTCGCTTTATCACTGCAGGGAACAAAAAGGCAGGAGGGAACAGGGGCAGGAGGAAATCAGAATGTGATGTGAGCCAGAGCAGGAAACGTCATCCAGCAATTCCAAGACCACCCAATATCAAGATACTGGTGGAGAAAGAATTCATAATGTTCAGAAGGGACATTGCCAGGCCAGTAAAAATCCCATTCATTGTGGCAAAACCCACCATGTCCCACTTTGCAAGGGCAGCCTAAAGGCATTTGATGTTTCAGAGGGTAAATGTGAAAGCGGGCAGTGAAGTCCCAGGCCCCTACAGAAGGACTCACTGCAGATCCCCAGCACTTTGCCGTGTTTCCAAGGAAGAAGATTCCCTGGCCACAAGAATACTGAGTTTTTGGGGGGGTTTGGTTTTGTTTGACTTTTTTCATTTTTGTTTTGTTGTTTTTTGGTTTTTTTTGGTTTTGGGTTTTTGTTTTGTTTTAATAATTGGATACGACAAACAGTAAAACGTGACACAGCAAACAGATCGTTTCATTGGGCTAAGTGCAGGGTGCAGCCTTGAAAAAACTGAATTATTAAGAGATTCAGATCTTTTTGGGTTTTCTTTTTTCACATATAAAGCGTTTTGTGCCTCACCCTTCATAATTTTGCCTAATCACTTCACAGCCAGATGTCAGTGGTTTAAAGGTTTAGAATGAAGGAGAGAGCCAATCTGTTTCTTAACAGTTTTAGCACTCAGTTTCATCAATTGCTTATAAGCAAAGTTAACTCCACGGTGCCACAGTGTCCTAACTCTCATTTTGAAAGTCTGAATACTCATCTCAAGGGAAGGGAACAGAAGCAGAGTGGATTCTAGCTGATAAGAAGCTGATATCAGAATCCCAATTCTTTAAATAGCACTAGTTTACTGTAGACAAGCACAGCCAGACATAAAACAGCGATGCACTTACTTAAAACCAACATAGGACTCATAGGAGAACTTTTTTCCTCTTTGCATTCCAGCTAACTTTTCAGGACTGCCCAACTCGAATCTGGCCCAACCTATGTGAACACACATTTCCACAATTACTAACAGCAACTGCAAATTCACCACAATCCTCTCTGCACTCTGCTTCAGAAGCACAGGGAAAGGGAGAGATCTGCTGGGAGTGCAGTGGGCAGAGCCACCCTGTGAGACAGAACGTGGCACTTCTGGCCAGGTCTGGACAGTCTGTGCTTAAAGCAGCCCCTGCTCACACCTACTGCTCAATATTTCAGCAGAAGCAAGTTCTGCTCTGCCAATTAACTTTTTTTTTCCGTGCACTAAACCTCCCTTTACCTCCAAATCCAGGAGGAAACACTCCAGTGAGTGAGAACATGGAAAGTCTCACTTTAAGTGGGACTGGCACATGAATGGTGTTCTCTTTCAGGAGGATGCCACTGCCTCAGTCAAATCTCCTGAAACTCCTGAGCAGATCACAGCACTGCAGACAGACAGGTCTGCAGTGCAAATCCCCAGAACTTGTGCTGCAATGGCTGCAAGATCACACTATGTGACAACAACCTTTAGCTACATTTCAGCTGGAAGGTCGTGGGACAGTGACACACCAAGCACATACTTTAAACCACTTGATAAAAAGCAGTATATCCAGAAAATTTTGATCACTTTGAGGGGTTTTGCAAAAATTGGCAAACAATTGTCCCTCCCACTAATAATCATATGTTTGTGTAAGCTAAAAAATAGTACAGTAAGGAGGGAAGTTAGACAGGAGGAGAGTCAGAACTTCTTTGTTGGTCATAGTAGAGATTCCCTCAAAGTCACACTGCTCTGTACTGGTGTAAGTTGTCAGCATCCCCAGAGCCCTCTCCAGTTCTGTCTTTGGAACATGTTTGTTGGGAAGTTCTAGTGCCCAAAGCAGCAGAGGTGTGTGCATCTACCATCACTATCACACTACAGAGCAATCTTTTAAAAATAACCACAACCATTTCATGTAGAATAAGGAAAATATGCTGTTCTTCAACATTAAGCATCTAAAAGCTTAAGAATGAACAGTGACATTTGCACAGACTGGGGAAAATTTTCTCATTTCATACAAAAATTTTGAATTTAGTCTTCATTTCTTTCCTCACAGAAATGTATATAAAAAAAAGGCTTTTATTTTGGCAAGGAAAAGAAACATGAATTAAAACTGAATATGCTTTTCCTGATTTTACATTTTAGTTTCTTTTCTTCCATAATTTGTAGGGTGAACAAAAATATATTAAAAAAAAATCAGGATATAATTGTTAAGCACAGAAAGAGAGAAACAGATCACAGGACATGTGGGATATGATAGCTTTGGGGCACAAAGCCTTTTTCAAAAATCAACTTTAACTGGTATAACATTATTCTCATGCAATTGGTCTAAAACCTAATGTTAGAAAAGTTTAGTTTGTAGAATTTTTCAGCACAAATTATGACGAGGAGAGGACTGAAAAATGTTACCATGGATCACTGAGGATGCCTCTTAAAGAACCACATACAAAATAAAAATTTCTCCTTTCTTCAAGTCACACACCAGTGTAGTGTATAATTAAAAACCAGTCACCTGCTTGTTTTGCAGCAAGAAAGATACAGATACAGAGAAATTATAGGTCTAGGAACAGAATTTTATTTGATTCTAGAAAGCATCATGCATTAAATTTTTTTCTTAATGATCCTTGCAGCCAGCTTTGAGATGAAAGAATAGCATTAACATAGTAAAAGGATGCAAAAGTAAGGTTAGCACCATAGAAGTAACTCTTCTCTTTACAACTCCATTTGATAGACAGTGATAAATGAGAACAGAGGAAAAGAAAAAAGAAATCTAGATGGCTAGGTGGCCTTGCATTTTTATTTTCAACATCCAAGATACTTAAATGTAAACATCAAGATACCATGGCTCTCCTAGTAATATCTAGTAATTCACGTTCAGCAAAACTTGCTCTGTACACTGAGAAAGTATTCAAAAGATAACTGTCACAAAGTACCAGCTAATGTGCAAGGTAGAAATTGTAGAAGTACAGAAAAAGAAAGGAAACAAGAGAAACCAAGGGCAGGAGTTTGTTCCTCTTCCAGTCTTTTGCAGGTATGGCTCTTATGACTTGCTGCAAAGGTCAAAAAAATAGAAGGGATGTGTCCTGGAACTGGCTGGGATGGGACAAATATCTTAATATTAGCCTGTGATACCCTAGTTTCATGGGCCAAATATCCAGATGTTCTTAATCCAAACTCTCCCATTTCTTACCTGCAAGCAACTACAGAATTATATCAGATTTCAAATGTTCGCTTTCCTTATTTTTTTATTAATTTTCAAAATTTTCCCTGTGTGGTTCTCACTGTAAGGTTTCCAAGAGAGTGAAGAGTTTTATGAACTCTCCAATCTTCCCCAAGCAGAAATTCTAATGCAGGATTTAGGAGTTTTAAATGCCACACTGTCATTGTTATGTGCTGTCTTCTTAAGGCAATGGAATAATTTCTTTCAAGTACCATAATTTTGCATCACAAATTGATTCTAAAATTTCCTGTGCAAGCATCTATAATTACAATACATGTAAAATTATTTAAATTTTATTAAACTATTAATCTGACTCTCTTATTAGAAGAAGGGTTTGAACTGCAATTATGAAGAAGAGGCAGCTTTTTGTCAGTTTGGTAAATACATCTTATGATTATTCCCACCTTTCAAGGTCCCGTGTATGGACTTTTAACAGCAACATAGAAGCAGCCTGTTAAAACAACTGCTTTGCATCCAAATCACAGAAAAACCATTTAATCCCAAAGCAGAGTGTGGTGTAACCCAAACCAGTTGTATTTTTCAGACTAATAACCATCAGCACTTGAACACCTATTGTAGTAAACACTGTTTTAACGTTGAGCTACCCAGGGCAGCCTTCACAGCCGCGAACGCTACATCACCACCGGGAGAGGAAGCAGACTCTCAACTTTTCTTTCTCTTTCTTTTATTTATGCTTGGACTTCCAGCACTGCACATCAGATAGCCAGGGTCTTAATCTGTCCTATATCAGACGGTAAAAATACAACGCGCTTTCTCCGCTGTCCTCGCATCGACAAATCACAGTCACATCCCACAAACCCTTCACGTGAGCAGTTCCTTCCCTCTGGAAAAGCATCTCTCCTCTCAAGGATTTCAGCTAATGCTTCTGGCTTATAAAAGATTAAGTGCAATCAGTTACACTGAAGGTTTATAATGCGGCCCTTGATTGTGTTTTCTGTGCACGCATTTACATCAGGCACACGAGTTATATAAAATAGTTTGGAGTACAAAAATATGGTTATAACATAGGAGTACCAAACAGCACAGAATTAGAACAGTTTTATTACTGTGATACCAATTTATATACAGACCCCAAATTAAGGATTTTTTTTTTATTTTTTTAATTCTAAGTATTCTTCCCAAATTGACAACTGTAGTGTACACTCTAAAAATTGCAAATTAACAACACAGATCTATTTTAACCCCTACATTGTCTATGCAGTCTGCACCAATCCTCTCTCTTCCACACAAAAGTGTATTATAAATAATCTCACAAAATGTCACGTATGTTTTATTGCACATTGTACATGCCAATATTTAAAAGAAAGGCTCAAACCTTTCACTTGATAACTACCTGTTTAAATAACTAGCATTTACTTGTGTTATGAATATTATTGCATTTTTCAGGTTCTAATCTTAACTCATAATTTAAAAGCAGAACAGAAAATATGACTTGAACTTTATAGCTTCCATGAAAAAAAGAAAAAGCTTCTTTAATTCCTCTGATCTCTACTTTATAAAGTCATTAACAACATATGACCTAATTAACAACGCTGTTTCGAAATTTCTGCATGTTTTACTATAAAATTATGCATGTAGCTGCTTGTGCAATCATCTATTCCTTCTATTTTGCAGAATTAGATGTCTCTGTGCTGTACTGATGGGAAGGTTGAGTTACATAGGTCCTAGTGTGAGCTGCAGGAGTTGTTTTATCAGGCTCTGCTCTGCACAGGGGCAGGACAGGAGGAGCCTGTCAGACACCTTGGACAGCTTGGGATAAAAGGACACCGGGCACAAATGGCCACCCAGCATCAAGGCCGTGTATAATTCCTGTTAAGCAGATCTCTAGACTAAGGAATACGAGTAAGTTATCATTAATATGTGGGTTTATGATATGCTGCACTAAAATATGGCTGCTAAACAAAGAGGATGATTGGTTGTATGACAGATATGTGCCAGCTGGTAAAAATGCCTCACTGGATAAAAATCTGAAGTTTTGAAGGTTAAAACTCTGGCATGAACGAAAAGATGTCAAAGTCGATCGATCAAATGTTTTGCCAAGGGTTTCTAAAGCTATTAGCCATCAACAGCTCCAGAAAGGGATAAAAATAGCAAAACCAAACCACTAAAATTGCACAATTACAAAGAAACAAGTCCATGAAAGGGAGAGTCACCAGCTGCAGTTAAGGGACGGCCACTTCGAGAAGCCGATTGTTTTTTCGCTTGCAAGTTGGGATGTTGCCGTTTTTCTGGCTGCCTTGTATGAACTTCACACACACTTTGTCTTGTTTGAACTGGACCAGGAACCTAAGAGAGAGAGAGCAGTGAAAATTTTAGTTAAGTGTGGAGAGCGGGAAAAAAAGAAAAAGAAAAAAAAAAAAAAGAGACACATGAGAAGCAGAAGTCTTTTCCTGTTGGTTCTATGCATCACTCCAAAAGATGTCATTTTTTAGCTCTCTATTAATAATAAAGAGTTGGGGAATAAATAAAAAAAGCCATAGGTTATGGTATGACTAGAATGTCCTTCAGGTTGTATCTCTTAATTATTGCTTTTTGCCTATAACTGTGGACATTTTACAAGTTAGCTTGCTATCCCTTTAGGATAAAAAGCAGATTGAAACAGAATTTGTCATGTAGCAGAAATGCAGCAAAGACTATTTCCAACTACTTCACTGTCAGCTGAAAGGAGGTTTCTGGTTTCTTGGGAGCTCAATTCTTCTGTAGCAACATCGGGAGTTCTCTTCTTCTGATTTATGCTTAATTTAGTACATCTGGTATTTTAGCAGCTCTCATATGTCTAATCCTTAGTTAGCCTTTATAGCCCCCTGCTCGTCAACTGGGAAAATTCACTTCCTGCCCAGCAATCTCCAAATTTAGACATTTTCTACAGTTCAGGGTAAATGAATCTGGATTTGACTCTTTGCTTTTTACTGGAAGGGAAATTTCACTGTGGAGAATTGCTTTTAAAAAAAACAAACACCACAAGAAACCAACATGCTCCTGTGGAGCTTCAAACCTCTCACGGATCTGGATAGCGAGATTAAAAACAAAAAACAAGGCAGTGCTGCCTCTTGGCTCACATGCAGTGGCTGCTGACCTAAAAAGTCCTTTGTAATACAGCCGATTTTCCCTTTTAGCATCCTTAAAAAGTCCTAAAGCAGAGGCCAAAAACTTCAAAGAATTTGCTCTGCAGCCGGAAACCACAAATCAAGCTGACGGCAGAGCTCAGGGGAGGAAGTGGCCTCTGCTGCGCCAAGCTGCCCTTCGGTCCTGCTTTCCTGCTGCACAGCCCAGGCTCTCAGAGCTTGCTCAGCACTCCCAGCCATGCAGGCACCCCAAAAATGTGTGCAGCTCCTACAGCCATTGTCTCAGCAACGCTGCATTTTCCTACAGCCACTGTTCCAGTATTATGCATGTGAACGGTGCTTCTCTTCCTAAACACAGCCCTTGAATGCGCCAACAGCATTCTTGTATCAGCTCTCTTCCCAAAAAACAGAGCAGTCAAAATAAGGCCACAGTTTCTCCTCAATCCCCAGTTGTGCTTGTGTCAAAACTCTAGCAGGGAGAAGACTCCTGCTGCTTCACCATCAACAGAGATGGGACTGCAAACAGCTTAAAATTATTTAGTCTGGATAAACTCAATAGCAATACACACATGAATGTTTTTAATCTGCAAGAGAAGAAACAAAAACCACATCCCAAAAAGCAAGACTCCCTGAAAGCAGGCTGTTTTCCAGACCTAAGGCAAGCAGGCAGTCCAGACTAGTGCAATGCAAGCTTTAACTTTGTTTTAGTAGTTTATTCCTTTGTAGCACCCCCCTGCCCCCTTAAACTAGAAACTTACTGGGGATAGCCACACTCTTTTAGAGACTAATGAACACATACTCTTGAGCAAATTAAATGACATCTGGTAACAGAACAAAGGAATATGGCAGATTTTATTTTCAAGGGAAGAGCAAAATTAGCCTTTTAATAAATCCTCAAATCTGAACAGGTACAAACTGTACTAGCATGACTCTAGAACACATGCAGTATGGTACAGCCAGATTAAAAGGTTCAATTTTTTGCCTACGGGAAATTTACTTCACCATTGTTAAAGGGTTCCAAATTTTCTTCTTTATTCCAAGTGAATAAATCCCCCAAATCAACATTACTGAAAAGAGGGGCCACTTCACAGAACAAAAGTGACACATGACAATGGTGGACTAAGTGGGAGACTCTTGCCCAGCAAACTTTAGTTCTCACACACACACAAACACCTTTATTCCATAGCTAAAAACACCACAAGGGCAGTCCTTATTTAAGGCCAAAATATGAAACTGTACCAAGCAGAAAGAAATACTATTTTGAGATGCAAACTTTTTATCAAAGAAAGCTTTTTAACAACCAAAACCCCCCAAACAACAATAGGCGGTTACACCTTCCAAAAGAGAAGATACAGCTTCATAAAGCTACATTGGACTGGGGAGGGGTTTTGTATTCTTATTTTGGGTTGTTTTCAGAAGAACTTGGCACCTAGTGTCCACTCCAATCTATAAATATCTCATAGCAATCTGTGAACTTTTCAGTCACATGCAAAATTGTTCTCTCAAATGTAGTAGCTCTTGATTATTTCTACAGCAGCAATTCTGCTTCATAGCCCTTTTTTAAACTACTTTAACAAAAGCATATATTCTGTAATGATTTTCAGGGACATAAAAGCCAAAATTAATGTTTTAAATGAGTACACACTGAAAACTGGATCCTTTTTTGCAAGTATTCTGTCAAGAGAAAAGAAGCATTAGCTACACAACAGTGTTTTGTTATTCTGACACTAGATACTTGACTTTTTAGCATGCTGCATTGGAGCAAATGTACTCTTAAGCAAAAAAGAAACATACTCATCAGATATCTCAATGTTGAGCTTCTGTTTGGTCTGGCTGAGAGTAGTGCGGTAAAGTTTAGTGGCCATTTCAATAAGGTGATCACTGCTGAGCAGGAAATCTCCTTTACTGGCGGCTTCTGAACCCTGAAACAGGAAGGAAAGCAGTTAGGACTACCAAAACCTTGAGTATGATTAAATGGCAGCCAAGCAGGAGGGTTTACAAGGAGTCTTCTCTTCCCAGTTTCAGGAAACAACAATCTTTTGTCTTGTAAATTAAATAGGGATTCCAGTGCAGAGTATAGGATAAAAATAGCATTTGCACCCAAATAATCTACAAATCAGGTGAAAAAGGTGAAAGAAAATCCCTTCTGGGCTTAAAGGAGGGTCATCTTCATTTTCCTACAAATCTGTAGTGTTTCTGTATCCCTTGTCTGGATACACCACAGCAAGCTTCCAACACTTGCGGAAGGGAACGAAAGCAAATTACCAACACCAGGATTAGGATGATGGCAGTGAGTATGAAAAGACACTGTATATAACAGTCTTCAAATTCATTTAGGCTAGAGTACAGCTTAATGATTTTAGCAGAGCAATGGTTACAGTGCACTGAGGCTAATGTAGCACTAAGTTCTTTAGAACTGAGTGACAAATTAACTGTCTCAACGTGGACTTCTTGGTATCCCATAAAGGAGAGAGAAATATTCTACCAGTATATGTAAGGAGAACACTGGCACAAGATACCTGATCCATATTACAAGTAGAAAACTCTGATCCTGAAGAGAGTGCAGTGAAACATGAAGTCTGATTTTCACAGTTAAATGATCATTCATAATGCAATAAATGGTTCTCATTTGGCTTCAGTAGCTTTAAATCAAAGTTTTTTTCAGCTATGGCAAAGTTCAATAAATTTCCAAGCCTACAAGCTCACCCATATGGGTTAATGCTACGAGATAATTAACAAATAGGTTTTATATCACTGCACGTAAAACAGTCATATTATTGTGTGATGGAGTGGTAACCAACCTCCTTGAGGTGCACTGCAAAGAATCCATCATTCTGGGAGCTCATGGACACTTTGGTAACATCTCCCAGTGGAACCTCTGACTTGATAGTCCCAGACTTTTGATCCGCAAGAAGAACATTATTTTTGGTTAATAAGAAAATCCTGGATGCAGCCTGTGAAAATGCAAAAATGCAGATCATTGTCTACCTGAGGAGAGAGCTGGTTTCCATCAAGCACCTACTAAAAACTCCAGGGAGTTCACAGAGTTAAAAAGCTTGGCCCACATTAGCAAATTGATGTTCAGTAAGTAAAAGCTGCAGATCAGTTAAAATCAGGTCAAATTTATTTATGTGTCTAATTATAGACTGAGAAGCTTAGCTCATTTTGCCACATATGCTTAGGTATAAACAGCTCCTTTAATTACTGGCTTACAGCTGTAAAATTCAGAAAGTGAAACTCTGAAACTATGCAAATCAGGATAACCTCATTTCTCATGCTCTTTAAATCTGCAGGAAAATCATCACACACTTAAGTTTCTATATAGATCATTATTCACCAAAACTATGATGCAGAGCAACACAAATCACATAAGCAGTTTTCAGAATTATGTTCTCCTCCCTTTATCTATTGGAATTACCCTTTAGGAGGATAAGCATTCATATTTTCAAAAGACAAATATTTTTAAAGCATGAAATGGGTGTTCTTAAATTTGTCTTCAAAAATAGTAAGAAAGAGAAATGACAACTTAATCCACATACAGATTTTTTTTTTCTGTAAACTTTTAAAGAGTAAAATCTTTATTAGAATTCAGTAGTAGCTGCCTTAAAGCACATAAAACCATAGTTCATTAATTTTTTTATTTTTTTTTTTAATCTTGAGAGCTGTAGTCTGTGCAAGTACAGGAAAGATATTGTCTTCATTTAATTAGTTTCTTCTAAACCAGAAAATTAACTTGGCATCAACAACGGGCAACCTAATTTCACTCCTACAAATGCATAAATGACATCTACATCTGAGAAGTTGAGATCTACTACTCCTAATATTTAGACAGATATGGTGAAAGCAATTAAATTTACTAAGGCAGAATAATACTTCCTGTTTTAATAAGTATAATTTAAATGCAAAATGTGTTCTATGTTGGCAGAATAAAGAGGTACCCACCATATTTAATGACTTTATTCAAATGATACAAGAAACTTGCCTCTTCATTCCAAAGAGCTTTGGAAGACAGGCAAAGCTAGCAGAGTATGCCACTCATAATTTTAAAAGATAATATAATGTGATAATCAGAAGCTTGACTGACAGTGTGAACTTTGAGAAGTTTTCTAAATACTTGAATAAAATATTCTCTAAATGTCTGTTTTCTTTAATTGGCAAATAGAAGATCTTAGCTGAGTACAGAGACTACATTTAGTTGTGACACAATACAGTCTGTTACCAGTTGATGAGATACCATTTTTGTTTGGAAAAGTCACTGGAAACTACAAAACAAGATTTTAGTAATCTTTATGTAAATTCAAAAGAGGTGTTTAAAATCACCAAGTTATATAAAAGCAACGTTCCAGTCTTGCCCCTAAAAATACGCATTATTTTAAAAGTCCTCAGACTATTACGAGCCCCACTTTCAATGTATTTATAACAAAAATGATCTACCCTTCTGGATAAATCAAATCCATGTGATTACCTTCCCATTGGCTCTATTGATCTTATTCACAACTTCTGCAATGATGATCTTTTCATCCACGGCATCTTTGAGTTTTTTGTACTTGGGGTTCTCGCTGATCTCCAAGTAAGCCCCTTGGAATGGCTGCCCAACACTGCCCCAAGGAAAGGCAAAGGAAACACCAGTTAAACATGAGCCTCAGGGAAGAAGCCAACCTGACACCGTCACAGGCTTCATGAGGAGATGCATCAAATATCATTTTTAGTGATGGTGAATGAAGATGAAGTTATCACCAAAGACAGAATAGGACGGGGTTTTTCCTTGCTCTGGAAGCATTTTTCAGTTAAAAGGGCCAAATTGCTTTGGATATCAGACACATGAACATCCTTGCACATGCAGTCAGCTGTGATTTGAAATCACCCAGTAAGAGTCTCTGTGAAAACAGAAAATAAGACCTCAATAGGACTGACATGCTAGGCATGACACCTCATGACAGACATGAACTTGCCTTCAAGATCTGCTGTTGTTTGTGAACTATGTAGCAGCTCCTTGTCAAGATCTGCTGCACTTGCAAATTCCCCCATCTTTACACACCTCAGGGTGTTAAAATAAGGGCTTCACTGCAGGCCAAGAACTGATGAACAGTCTCTGCTTGCTTTTTTGGAAGTCACTTTAAAAATTATTTAACTATAGTCAAAGCATTAATTCAAAGCTTTGCCAAGACTGGAGCCCAAGAGAAACCAACACATTATGTGGAACAGCACTGCTTTTGCAATTGCATCTCTGGCACACAGAGAGATGGGAAAGAAGAGGAAGGGTACTGGGATTTTAATAACCACAAGTCCCTCTCCCTCCTTAAATAATTATACTACAGACAGAAAATTAGCCACATCCTATGAACCATTATCATACTAATTAATCAGAAACTTTATACAGTAATTTTCTCTACCCTTAGGCCAATTAAAAAAAAAACAGCAAACAGAGCTAATCAGCTCTGAATACCAGACAAAAAGAGATGGAAATGTCTGTAAATGAATGCAGGGTAAGGAAAGCATTCCAACTTTCCACCATATCGAAGCTTTGGGGTTTTTATTAATTAGTATTATGAAACAATGGTCATCAAAACCCTGTGGATTTCATCCCTGGTCAAACAATGCCAAGTTACACCTAAAACTGAAATGAATCAACAGTTCCTCTATCACATATACCACTTTAAGAATGTCTTGGATATAAATGACTCATATGTATATATGTGTATATATTTTTCTGTATGTTATTTCATTGTTCAGCCTTGGTGTAAAAAGTCCCAAACCAGGGATATAAGCAGAATTCCTTCCTTTCCAAGGAGCTCTATGCTGAGCAGAAGCATACTGACTAAAACCTAAAAAAACCTGCTTGCTCATAGGAAAGTCCAAAGGCACCATCATTTTTTTTCCCCCCCAGCAGCATAAAAAGACATCCCAAAGCAAATAAGGAACAAACCACAAGCCAGCATATATAGCCATTAAGTAAGTGATGTAGTGAAGGGAAAAAAAGAGAAATGTATACTGAGACCATTACAGGAAATGTCTCAATAAAAAAATGACACAAAGCAAAACCAAGGAAACACACAAACAACAGGCAGAGCTTTTCCATGCATGGAACTGTTCCCATAAACTCTTGCAGATTCCTGTTCTTCCCTCTGCTGAACCTTGCTTCTCATTCTGTTTGTTCCTGCTCAGCTCAAACTACAGCTTCTAAGAGAAAACTCTCTCGAGATGGACGAGATGGTTGTTTTCAAGAGAAAACACAATTTATAAGCTCACATTCACATAAAAAATGTAAGCCAATTTACTTCAAATCCATCATATCTCTCTTTTGTCAGTTTTATTGAATACCAGAAGTGTATTCCTTAAATAAAATTAGATACTACCACACTTTCTTGAATAATGCTGGCTCTATAGATAGCAATGACAAGAATCTGTCAGTTTTAAAGAAATCAATAATCTGAGAAATCTGAGAAACTGAAAAACTTATTTGCAGAGATTTCACATTATTAAAGGAAAAAAAAGAAACAAATATAACAAATATAAGAAATAGAAATTTCTATCAAGTATCTTTGCAGGAAACAGCCTGATGGGAATGAGGGGAAAGGGTGAAAGTTGTTCCCCTCTGCAAGCTCCCCAAACTTGTATGGGGTGGGCAGGCTGTGGAGGGTTAGAACAACAAACCACCATGGATTCTGGACAGAAGCTCTTGTTGTCACAGCACTGGAGGCTGTAGCAACATCTAGTTTGCTTCTAACTGAGGTCTATTTTCAGGACAGGAAAGGCAAATGATGGAGGGATGTTGTCAAACAAGAAAAATGGACTTTCCTGCTTAAGATAAAAAAGCAAAATCTTGCTTGTTTTCCCAAATCTGTGTAAGGATATTGGATTTCTTGGAACACTAAAAGCAGCAGTATCAGTCATTACCTGGCTGGATATAAAGCCTTCTTGTCCTTGAAAAGTTCACTTGCTTCCAGTTTCTCTTCATATATAAGCTTCTGCTGATCTGTGAACTGATCTCTGTACTTTTTACACTACAAAACAGAGTATATTAAACAAACCATAAAATTATCTTTCCCAATCTCACAGCACCACAGACTAATGTTTGCTCATTGCTCAAGATGCACATTCTTTGTATGCTTCTGAAGTGATTCAGCTCCATCCTACGTGCCACTGATAACAAACAGGAGATGTGTTTTGCTCCTCACCCATTCTAGATACTTTTGAATTACACCAGAAACAATATATAAAACATCTCCTGTAAGCATGTTGCACTCAAAATGAGCTTAATCTATGAGATACCATTCATTGGAAGAGTGTGCTAAAAGGGTTGACAGAAACATAAATACACTTCCACAATTTTGGAAGTTAATGTAGGCAGAGAGAAAGAAAAAAAACGCAGCTGAGAGGGTGAGTTTTGCAGGCTCAGAAAGAAAAACTGTTCCTTGACAATCCCCAGAAAACACAGCCCACAAGATCAGTAAAACGTCCCATCAGCACTTGTACAGATTCTCGCCGTTCTCTCCGTCCAAAGATCCAAAACAAATTTCAGCTAACCACAGCTCATAAGTAAAAAATTCCACCCAGCACTTCCAGTGTTGTTCTGAGTCCTGGCCATGGACACAAGTATTACAAGCTATTAATTAACAGGCTGATGGCAGGAAGCAAACCTCTCTCCCTAGCCCCAGAAAGGAGTAGCCAGAATAGTTCTATCCCTTGCAGGCCAAAGGCAATGATCGAAAAACATACTCCTTCCAAAGAAATAAAATTATCCTGGCTGGAATCAAAAGTAATACATCCTAAAAATAGACCCTTTGTGAACAAAACTGTTGAAAATCATGGGAAGTTCTGCACAGACTGGACCAGAATGTGTCCTACCCTCCACAAATGGAAAATCCTCTTTAGTTCCTTGTGAGTTGAATCCAAGAAAAGGTAAGGCCTCGCTGGCCAGTTTTTATCTATTGGTGATAAAGAAGGCATCTTATTCTTCATTTCCAAGAAGTATTTTTGCATCTGTGATAAAATTGAAGCAAGATGTTTTATTAATGTTCAAATATCAGAGTTATTGAAGTATGCAAGGAAAAGCAGATGCTCTGTGATTAAAAAGCACAGTTACCAAACTGCAACTCTCAGCTCTCATAAACCAGAATATGGATTTTTAAAGCCAGGTATATTGAGAAATGCAGATTTAGGTATCACAGAAATGTGCCCAATACCTCATACCATTCCTCCACCTTCAAACATTATCACTATCCTTTCTTTATAATATCAGAATATTAATTTGTCACTTCTCCGTGTGCTTGGACATTTCCTTACAAAGACTGTCATAACACAACTGTTACATTTGATAGAAAATAAAAACTTAAAACACAGAAAGTGTGCACGTGCTTTGGACAGATATATACATACGAGTCTCTGAAGGGTAAATTCATAAATTTTCCTTCCAGCATTGGCTCTGAAGAATTTCCTGTATTCTCTACGGACCTGGAAAGTTAAACAAACCCACAAAATGAATATAAAGAATGAATTTGTTTGCACAGGTATTTTTTTAACAAGCTCTGTGGTAGGAAACATTAAAACAAGCATATGTACATGCAAAGGGTTCCCTGAAACAGGAACATCACCTGGTCACACTTAAATTACGTGAAGCAGACCATGGACCACGATGTCTGAAAGATATCTCGGCTGACCTGAGTGCAGCTATTTGCAAACTTATCAAGGAGTTTGAAATACTTCCCTCCAAAAAATGCAAATTATTCAAATATTGTCAAATTCACAGCATGAATCTATTTTCAACAGGCTTTTGCATAAAGCTGGACTGGAAAAAGTGAGGCATCAGCAGTGATGATACAATTTTCTTGTGTCGGCATGAAAAAATTCTTTTCACACAGGCAGCCCTCATTCCAAAAGAAAAATAACATTTTGGTGCTTGGTAAGAATAGAGAATCAACACAAAGGTTGCTTAATATCAGCAAGCTTGATATTTGCTCCCAAAATTTATTTGAATCCCAGTAAAATAAAAAAATCAAGGAAGTGATCAAAACAATTTTTGCAGGTGATATTTTTAATACATACTTGGAAGTGCAAGTTCTAGAGTACTTGTTTTGCCTTTTGTATTTCTATCAGTGCTAATTAGCATAGATCAAAATTCAGAAAAGGCAATTAGGGAGACCACAACTGGTTTGCAGTTTTATGTGACACCCAGGCTCACCTCAAGTCAGCTGAAACATCCCCCAAATTTTTTTTGCAAACTCTGGCACAGCCTGCAACACACCTGTTATGGGTTTTGGGCAAAACCCAGGGAAAACATCGTGGCTTTGCATGATTTACCCCAGAGCAAAATTTAGTGGTTTTAGCTAATTCACTGTGTGTTGCTGGCTTCTCTGTAACCAGAATATGAAGGAAAATCCATAGAATAAAATCCCCTTCAACTTACAGAAAAAAAATTACCCTGGCACCACCTTCTGCCTCATAGTGATTCATGCATTTTAAGATAAACCAGCATTTGGGAAGCAAGAATCTGTCACCATTTGGGGACAAAAAACACCCCACAGGTAAACAGATTTTGCTTAATCACACATTAAGATGCATCAAGAAAACTGTCAGCATTCAGCTGTTGTCATTCCATGCAAATTCAGCACGCATTTTTTCCCTTCTCACTTAATAAGAAAAAAATATCAGTGTTCTTATTCACTCATTTTCTGCAAGGCTTAGTGCTCCATAATTAGAGTACATCCTTTATTAATTATTCAGGGATAGTAATTAACACACTCAAAGTCACTCCAACCACAATCATCCCAAAATCTCACCATAGACTCTCCTTAATGATCTTGCTTTATATTATTCTTTGCAAGCTGCAAGGTGTGCAAATTAATTTGGAAGGAAGGGACTAATAGGCACCCACGCATCCTATTGCTGCTGCAGGGAAGCTGCAAAGCAAGCACTGAGAAATGCAAGCTGCTCCAGAAAAGCCTAAATCCAGGAAGTACCACAAGTGCTATTAAAATCTACTTGGTATACAATTAAAATAAAACCTCAAAAACTAAACAACAAAATCCTCACAACTTAATGGTTTGATCTCCATCGTTTTTATCAGCTTTAATTTTTCAGCCTCACATGTCTTGGGTGAAAACACTTTGCCTTCAAACAACCTGTGGTAACGGTGAAATATTGGAATGGCAGACTATATTCTTATTCAGAAAAATCTGTGTATTTCAGGTGAGATGGAAATTGGAAGAGTAGCTTACACTATTTTATGAACTCACTGAAAACCACACCACAGACTGCAGAAATGTATTCCTGCTGTAATGTGCATTAAAGCTTTTGGAGTCATCAGCTTGCATTTAAATGCTGCTGTTTGATATAAAACGGCCTCTGAGTTCTCAGGAAGGACATATCCTTGTTTTAAAATCATAAAAACAGACCTACTTTGGCAGTAGTACCTAAAGTGTGATTCTGATCTGCAGAATGACTTCTTAAAATGGCTCCTTTGTATTTTCCAGCTCTGGTTTCCCTGTATGCATTGTAATGGATTTTTTTTTTTTCTTTTTAATACAAATGAACATGTATTATATATAACTTTATGTTTTCTAACTGTTTTTCCCATTTCATCACTGTCAGGATAAGAACAAGAATAAGACAGCTGAACTTTACTCTGCATTATCGAGTGAATTGTTCCTTTCATACCTCTGTATTCTACAATAATTACAACTATTAGCAGAAGTCACTCCCAGCCAAACCAAACAGATTCAGATTTCCGCAGTTATTCGGGACTGCGTCTGTAAAACTGTGTTGTGTAAATCGTTTGGGCACAGACCTGAAACATCTGAAGATGCCATTTTCATAGTCTATTTACAGAGCAGAACTCCATTTTTCCAGATTACAGATGTGTTTTCTTTTGCCAACCAGTCCTTGAAAGCAAGGGACGGAAAACAAAACACTTTTGCGCATCTCAATTTTTCTAGGAATTCTTGGCTGTCACGAGCCACAGGTAGCTGTGTGCAATGCCAGGCCCTAAAAAGGCTGCTGGATGCAACAGGACATGACCACTGGCTTGACACCGTGCCCTCCTCGACACTGGGATCAGGGGTCTACTGTGAGCAGCAGCAAGAGTCAGACACTTCCACCCTACTTCCCATTCTAACAAGCAGAGGTCACAACAAGAAAATACATCCTTGTAATCTTTCCAGATAGGACCTTTGCCAAGGTAGGTCAGTTTTTAAAGTCAACAACTGTAACAGAGACCCTTTAATCTGATTTTTGTCTTTCTCTTGAAAGCTGCAATTCCTGATATGACAAAAATCCCCCAATGCCTCAACGTTGCTGTAAGCGAGGCAATTTCACCTTCTGACTTTTCCAGCCAAGCCCATGACAAAGTTAAACAATGTGTAAAAAAAACATCCCTTCCAGTGAGCCCACACAACTGCTTGTTTATTAAGTGTTAGTAAGGTGTGCCACGCTTTACTGAGGTCATGTTGACAGACGGGAGTGTTGGAGAAAGTACCTTCAGTCCAAGCCAGTAAGCCCAAATGACTGCCACAGCATGCTTACGCCTAGCCTCCTCCTTCAAGCGTTTCAACTCCCTCCGAGCCTAGAAGGTTCAGAGAGTGAACAAAAGAGACAGCCCGATGCAGACAGCACGATGATGAGCGGGGAAACGCCTGTCCCACACCGAACAGCCAGGAGGGAAAAGGGTGGAGGACCTTCGGCGCCCAGCGCGCCCTGTGAGCTGGTGTGAAGCCACACAGGAGGGCAAAAAAGCCCCCACTGCTGCTGGTGTGGCATGTACAGGTGGGAATTTTGTCAGCCCTTCCTCTTCCTCTGTTCACACATCCCATAATTTGGTTCTAATGGGAGAGCTTTGCTGGCAGTTTCACGATCAAAATGAAAATCACGTGAAAATCAAGGCTTGCTAAAATCTCACTATCTACTCACTTCTTCCACTGGCAACTGCCTGGGTAGGACAGAATCAACTCTTTTATTTTGATCTTTATGTATTTAAAAAAAAAAAATAACAAAATTCCCCAGCCTGTTAAAAGATGTCTGTCTGTGGAATTAAGAGGTAAAGCCATCAAACCTAGCACATTCCTCATGCACAAAGAGATAGGCACCTTCCTACCTTTCATCAATCATTCCATTTTAGGAAAGCAATTTGAGGCATGTGTGGGCAACTTAACAGAATGTCGCATTTTAGGAGATACCAGCACATTTTTTATTCAGTTATCTGACGACAACACTCAAGGAAGAATTCCAGTATTACAGGCTCAGTCAGAGCAGCTGTAGCCCTGTTCCTGCACTTGTCAAGCTGTAAGTTACCAGACTTGTGCAGCAGCAGTTCCAGCCTGTGCCAGTTGTGCTCTTCTGGTGCAGCTGGAAAGGTTAATGTGCAGTAGATGTGGACTCAGAGATTGTGTTTTCACTCATCTGCTTGGCAGAAAAGCTCCTACTGCACAGCAATGTAAAAGCAAGAATTATGCAAAGCTAAGTATTTGTCTATCTTGTGAAAAGGAAGGAAACTGAGTACTTGAGGCTCACTCTTGTTTAATTGTTTTTGTTAGCTTGTTCGTGGGTTTCTTTGATAAAGCAAGAAACTTTTGATGATAACCTTTAAAAATTTTTGTTCTAAATATTTCCCCAGGAAAGATAAAAGATCACACCAATAACAAGTTGTCTCTCTTATCAGAGACTGTAATTATTTTTATAATCTTAATTCAATTTAGATTATTATCTTTATATACATATATATCATTATATTTAGATTATTTCTATTTAAGGAATAAGGAGACAATTTTTCACTAAATTCCTGTGAGCCAGTTCATAAAAATAACTACTAAACCATGTTAAAAAATATTCAAATCTACTAAACATTTAAATGAGGAGCTTCAACATGGTTAACACTATCACATCCACAGGATGTACCTTTTAATTCAAAAGAACATCTTAAAACTATGAAAACAAATATCTCTTCTGCAATACTGAGCAATTTTTTGGTGAAAGGAACTCTGGTTAAAAATAAAATATATTCTCAATGTGTTGTGCTTAATCAAATGTAGAGAAAACAGTGTGTCTGTCAAATTAGAGCATTACCTAAATATCAAGCTAGAAATGAAAAGTTCCAAAGACTCTCTAGTATGAAGGAAATTCTGTACATGTTTGTTTGGATTCCCAGGGCTGCCATTTTGCTGGAAATCTAATAGATTTTTACCAAAATAGCAAAGGTCAAACACAGCATTATACTCCAAATGTAATTTGAGCACATTTCTCCATCCACTTGGCAAGGTGTTCTAACAACACACCCACTACATAAATAGCAACTGAAAAATGTTTTAAATCGACCATATTTATGGTTTTCAACTAAATTAGGAATTTATTAATTGAAACCAATATATTTTTGACCTCTAGTGAACAGCATTTCAAATGTTCACATATCCCACAACGACAGGCTGGGGATTAGCAAGAATCTTTCAGTGGGACTTTGCTTCTGAAAACAAACAGCTGATGCTGAAATTCCTGGGATTTTTCTAGAGCTGTAAGTTTAGAATTGCAAACTAACATCATTTTCTGCTAAAAGATCAGCTCATAAAATTTTGCTTTACTTGTACTTATTTAATTTATTTTTTTTTTTACTGTTTCAAATCACAGCCAGAAAATTAAACCAATCATAGCTAGAATTTAATGAAACTTAATAATGTTGGTTTGAAGTTGGTTGTAGGTGAAGACTGTCCAGGGTACAGATTACAACATATGGTGAAAATCTCATCTGGATCACTAACACAGTGTCACTGAAAGCACTTGTTGGGGGCATGGGGAGGAACACGCCAAAAATCCCAGACCTTCTCTCCCCCCTCCACAAACCATGCTTTGCATATTTACATGTAGTTAAATGCATTTCCTAAATTGATATTACTGTAGTCCAGTCATTTTTAATCTAGTCTAATGCCTTGTTAGTGCAAATCTGTACTTGGTTGCCATGCAAAGAATTTCCTACTCTACAAAAAACTGGCACACACAGTGCCATCAGATTTATTAGGTGTGGCATGAATGGAAATGGAAGGAATTGATGATCATGCTCTATTATTTAAGAGTGAATTGTATTAGTCATTAATTGTCACTATGAAATAGTGATTAAATGCTGATATTGTTGAGTAATGAAAGGGGGAGGGAGGGCATGTGATATGTGCATGAAGTACCTTATATCCAAGCCAGAAAGCCCAAATAACAGCAATAGCATGTTTATTTCTAGCCTCGTCTTTCAGTCGTCTCAGTTCCCTTCGTGCCTGTGATGCATTTGAAAAGGGGATATAGAAAAGCTTAGGAAAGAAAAGGTTACTGCAAGTTCCCATTGGTGCAAGAAAGAAAGCAAGGAACCAGTCACTTCAAACAGCAAATATTAAAGCGTGTCCCAGCTTCCCAGATTGCACCAGCTATGACATGTTAGCAGCAAAGAGAAACCAAAATAACAATTGAAGCAGTCAAAGCGGTTTAAGCCACTGACAATATTCCCAGATAACTATCCTGAGGGATATCCTTCTTCATTCTATGTAGGGACACACAGCTGCACAGTCTGCTGCCATTTTCTTACCTGGGTACCATGCCAATAAGCAGCAATTACTGTGGCAGCCTCATTACAACGCTTCAGATGCTTGAGTTCCCGAAGAACTTTCCGAGCCTGTAAAAAAATTTAATTTTTTTTTTTAATAGCTAGCTTTTTTATATTTTTGAGGTAGGACACTGCAACTTGTAAATCTAGGCAAAACAAAAAGAACACCACCTTCAAATCCCCAAGCAAATACATTCACAAATTCTGCCCAGCCTAATATTTGCTGCTCCAGGGAGGATTCTGTGCTGCAAGACTTTGGGACTGGCAGGTTAGGGGATCTTAGTTCAATGCTCAGTTTTCTCCCAGATTTGTTGCATTACCTAAGATATCTATATGTCTGTTTGCACAATGGCAACAATATTTTTTTTCTCCATACAGTAAATGTATAATCCATTTAGAGTGTAATAGAGAATAAATCACAAGTAAATTGCCTGGCTTTAGGTCACACTAAAGGCTGCTGTCATAGCAGGCTTTCATGCACAGTAATGCTACTGCAAAAGAGCTTGTTCTCCAATGGCAAACAGAAAACCATAACTCAAGATGATGCTTTTAACCCAGTTTTCTTCAAATAATGCTCATGGGAAAAGACAGCACATCAATAGTTGGACTGAAAGGATATTTTTAACCCATTTAAACAAAATAATAAAGACAAAGTAAAAAGCCAGAGAAACAGCAAAATCTGATGATGTTAACCTTATTGCTGGCAAACTTTAAAGCCTTCTGGGCAGGAGAGATTATTTACACCAGTAGCTGCTAACTGCAGCCCCTTCCTTCCCTGTCTGACAGAAAGGGAACTGACTCTGGAACGAAAGGCAGTTCTCTCTTCCCTAACTGGCAGGGAAAGACACCTTTAGCAGGATGAAGAAAGGTTAATAAGAAAACAGAGAAGCCCAGGTTTGTTTTTTCTGAAGCTGGACAGCAGTAGTTGCTTTAAGCATCATGCCTGCTTTCATACGAGCTGTTAATCTCATTTTTACCTTCTACTAAAGCATCTTTCCTTAAATATCTACTAGGATGCCTGATTATCCCTTCACAAAGTACAACCCTCTCATAAAAGAAGTTGTGGCGAACTGAGGCACAGCAATAAACTACTTTCTTAACACAAGTACACTTTCACTCCTCTGCTTAGCAGACAGAGGTGAATTGAGGATTTCACCCAAGTAACAAACTGCCCAGGCAACCCAAACTCTTTATTTTAATCCTGCTTTCAATTGGATTCATTCTTTGGGAATCCTGTAAAGCATAAAATAACTGTCAACCACAACTTGTTTTTTCCAAATCAGTCCAGCACTACATTTTTCCTAAGGTCAGTAGCAGAGCCCCAGAGCATCCTTCTCTGGAGCTGTTGGCCTTCTCAGTTCCTTGGCAGAAGATGCTTCAAGGATAACCCAGCGGTTTAGTGTGGTCCCAGCATCCCACCTGCACCGTTTGCAGGGATTTATAGCCCAGGCAGCACATGCAGATAGCCTGAACTCACCTCTTCTACAGCAAACACAAGTGTTTAATGATGGCTGTGGCACAGCCACAGCTCCAAGGAGAGGTGTGAAAGGCAGGAGGCTCAGGGCACTTGGAAAGCGTTGTCTGACCTGCTCCTTACCTCACCAAACAGAGACAGCCTCAGTAGCAGGAAACTCACCTTCCACCCCCTGATGTACGACTGTACTGTAATAGCCGAACTCTTTATCTTCTGGTATTTTTTTTGTTGCTGTATTGAAAATAAGTATGTGATACTTAGAACAGAATATTACGTCTGTTAAACACTACATAATAAACCTTTCATTACTAACATTTGACAATATGCTTGAGGAGACAAGCACTAAATGTAAAAAATGAACAATTTCTGACTGAGCAGATTAGAGTGTAGATTCTGTGTTCAGCTCGAGGGGAAACAAAGCACATCAACAATGCTGCATGGACAATGTCACTCTGTTTACAGAAACACTAAGTTCATGGTCAGCAGCACAAATGCAGATTAAATGCTAACAGTAACAGCTTTATTTGTCTTTCCCACCACCAGAGTAGAACACAAGCTGTCACAAATGCTCAGGTTTGTTGGCTAAGCTTTTTACCTCCTTTTCATAAGACATGAGCTGTTCCTATTACCCACACTGCCTTTATTATGGCTGATGATAACTTAGGAAGAGGGAAAAAACCAAAAGCATGGATTCCTGAACGAGATGCTGGAGTACTATTTAAGTATGCCAGGTTGAAAAATAGATTTCCTGACAGCTGAGCACTTTCCTCCTGAAAAGCTCAGTTCTCCAGTAGCCCAGCATTTAGTGTAACACTAAATTGACAGACTTCACAACAGGGCTTTTAGGCTTGACATTCAGCCCACTCAGTGACAGTGAAAATCTCTGTGAGCAAGCTGGAGAGGGTCCCCTCTGGGCCACACTCGTGCCACGGCTGCTGTCTATCATGCCCTGCAAGGCAACAGACAGATAAGTGCCTGCAGATCCTTAAGTCAAGCCTCCAGCACAAGGAATTGCTCAATAAAAACTTTATTCATTCCAGGGACTTCCCATGAAACCTTCCAAAGCGCAGTGCCTACCAGTCATTGGGTTAGGAGAACACTGCCTTCCATCCACGTGAAGAGGCTGAGGAAACGTCTCTATCATCACCAATAAAACAACTGCTGCCACATTTCACCAGCCACCCAATAATGGTTTACAGTTAAGAAATCAGCAGTTCTTGGTGGAGTATTTGTTTTCATTTCTTTATATTTAAAGTTGTGCCAATGTAGCTGAAGTAAGTCCATTTTAAATTCATTAAGATTGCGTGAGATCGTAATGAAGCCTTATGGACACAATGATGCTGTTTGTAGGAACGGGGCTTCCAGTCACACAAAGTCAGAGAGAAGAGTTTTTACAGTAAAAAAGTATGCTTCAGTCATACTTTTTCCAAATGAGCTACACTTCCCTCTAATTACCCAAGAGAAGTGAACCAAACACTGATGGCTTTCAAGAGTCAACCGAAAAACAGGGATTTGTCAACTCTATAGTTTAAGAAGACTTTCTTTCCATATTTTATCAAGGTTTCTGATATGCTTGTGCTATTCTCTAGCAATAACAAAATGCAGCTGAGAAGTTCAAGAGTGGTTTTAAAAACAAATAAATCTTTTTTTATCATGTAAGTCAGCATTGTTTACTAACTGCCAAGAAGATGTGAAAGAGTTGTGTAACAGTGCTGTTCAGTTCGTGGCACAGAACACCCAGTCCACACACAGAACTGAAATTGCTTTAGCATGAACTGGATCAATAATGATACCAAATTATGAGTCTTAAGAGTTACAATTAAAATAAACCCCTAGAGGCAGCATTCTTGAGTCTAAGGCAAATGTTCCAAATAAGGCAAAAACACAAAAAGGCTTAGGAATGACTGAATTCCACAGAAGTGCACATATGTGTATTACTGAACATTTTTTACACATTAACCATATGTTCTGAGAGCACTGTAAGCATTGGAAAGCACAGCATTTTAGCTGAATGAAAAAGACTCTTCCCAGCTGAACCACAGAATCCTGCTCTCCCAGAGTGAAAGGACTCTGGTGAGGTTTTTAATTTTATAAAAACAAGCACAGTGTAAGCACTTAACAGTAGTCTATAGAAACTAAATCTTCTTTATTCCCGCTATTGGTACTTAAGTATTAACATAAAATTGAATTCTTTCAACAGCTCCCTGTACATATTGAGGAAAAATATTCCACAAAGGTTACATGTATTAAACAATGAAGAGAGCCCCCCATGTAGTGAGGATGGTATCTTACTGCATATCTCCTGTACCAGGAAGCGATCACAATCTGGCATTTTTTCATCAACAAGAAGCGAGTACGGCACTTCCAGCCTCTGTAAATCTTTTCAATTAGAGTAGCCAAGTCCTCCAAACGCTGCTTTCTCAGGTCTTCTAGTTTGAAGAGCTGGGTGTAGGGGTTTTTAGGGTTTTGTTTGACATTGGAAGAAAAACAGCAGGAGAGAAGAGACAATGAAAAAACCCATAAGCACAGCTCTTGTAAGAGAAATCTCTTCTTTACTCAAGTCCCTCTTCAGTCACACATTGTTTTATTCATCTCCAGAGCTACAGGCAGGTGCACCAACAAGATTTGTGGCAGATAAAATGTCACATGTCAGTGCTCAAAAATTTTATTATATTAAAGCTGACAACTGCTGTAGAATCTTGATTCACATTGATTTTAATGGGTCTAACATTAAAAAGTGGGTTTTTTTAATATTACATTCATGGCAATATATCAAAGCACAGCATGCAGAAAAATCTGTAGGAACCAGGTAGTGAATGATGCTGTCCTCATGAGAGAGGGCTTGATTTTGCAGAAGGCATTTTTCACTTACTGTTCTTGGGTTGCGGATGAATATCTTTGATCTACCGAATGAAAATTCATCTTCAGGGATTCCCAATTCATTAAACAGCACCTCTACTCCAGCCCTAAGAAGGAGTAAATGAGCATCACAAACATGACCCCCAGCTCTAAAACTTCTTAGTTTACATATTCACAGTTTAATTTATGGAAAGTATATGAAAGCCTATTTTAAACTTTTAAATAGTGCTTGGCATAAGATTGAAAATATAACTCGTTTACCCAGTGTTTTACTCAGCTAAAGGCAAGAATAATCACTGTAAAGATTCAGAATAATTTGATGAAAGAAAGAGCAAATTTTATTTTACAGCATCTGCAACAGCCTATTTTTTCCTCTTACATCTATAATTATTTTACTTAAAAACAGAAGAAAGGAAAAAAGAAGGGCTCACACTAATGTCAAAATGTGAAACAAAGACTGACGAGTTTGACAAATGTCCGTGTTCCACTCTATTCAAATACATTTTATGAACACCAACAGAAAAAAAGGAAAGTGGAACTGTGCAGATCTTTGTGAGGATTATTGTAATGCTATTGCTACCAATACTGCACTGCTACCATTATCTTGAAAACCTAAAGACTTAAATTGTAGCTAAAATATGTTAATCAATTATGAAAGATATTTAAATCATGCTTTTGGTGGCCACATGTAAAAAGAAATAATATAAGCTTATTTGCCCATCCCAGACATTATTTTCAAAAATACACATAAATACTATGCAATTTAAAAGTGTATTTAATATGATAGATTTGCAAGAGTCATTATCTCATAATCATTCCCCAGTCATTATTTCAAGTTATTCCTGCAAGGACAGAGGAACATTATAAGACTGTCTCGAAAAAATTAGTGTTCTTACACTTTGAAAGTTGGTTTTTATAGATAAATGCCCTCCTGATCATTCCAGACCTCCCAGTTATTTTGAATCCACTGTAGAATCTCTCTCTTACACCCTTTCTTTCAGACTCAAATCAGTAAGGCCTGCACTATATTCCTTTTGCAATGTATGCACAACAACTAAAAACATGTGGAAATGGGAATTTCACTCAGGAGAGGTAGGAATATTGCTGTTTGCCTACCTGGCTGGCCCTCTCCAGTGGGGCCAGGTCTGCTTGCAGAGCATTTTGTACCTCTCCAGGCAGGGCTCGTAGGGCTGCCGGAAGGCGTAGCCCGCTCTCCTGACCCGCACGTTCTCCAGGAGCCCGAGGTACCGGATCTGGTGGCACACCAGGGCTTCGTTGAAAATGTGTGCAGCCTTTTTGTCATTGGGCTTGATACACCTGCAAAGGAAAACCAAAAGGGACATCTCTTTGCACTGTGCACGCCAACAATTATTACGGTGAGTTTAAACCATACATCTCAATAGTTCATCCTTGGACATCAAGATTTGTTTTGGTTTTTCATAACCTTGTCAAACAAATTCACCAAATCTTTGGTGCTGGGGAATTTACCTGATGTAGTTTGGATTTTTTGTCTGGAGATTTTTCATCAGGGTAGCAACTGAAGCCTTGAACTGTGAACCTGCCGTTGGTGGTCTCTTCAGATTGATCTTAGCAGGGTTTCCTTCTGGAAACAGTGCTTTGATAAGGGAGTGGTTGGCCTTCCACATGGCCTGGGAGAGGTCACGGTACAGAAGATCATTATTTTTGTCAACAAATCCTTCCACCTGGTACATAACCTGAACAACAGAGAAGAGTCTCATCAGTGCAGGTTTTGAACATAGACCAGTTCAAAACTGACCCAAGAAATTGATTTCTCCTTCTTATGCACTGTCCAAAAGAAACAAAACGTACTTCAGCTTTGATTTTAAGTCTGACATTTGGACAACTTTTTGTTGGATAAAATGTCTGTGAACATGCTACCTGAGAAAGATGCATTTTCTCATACTGCCAACAGTTCCCTGTGTCAATCAATTCTGGCTTCTGAAGTGGAAGAAACCTTTTTTCCATGATAACTCTGACACACCACCACCTGCCAAGACTCCAAAACAATATATTTATTTTTGTCTGACGAGGTTTTTCTCCCTCTCTTTTGAGCCAAAACAACAAACATACCCTTTACTTTCAAAGTACTTATGCTTACATTATTTGCCTAACTAAAACAAGATATTCCATATCACCTCTTGCTATCGCAGTGCAAGCATCAAGCTGGGCAGCCCCCAGGGGACTGCTATTTTAAAGGACTTTTACCAGGATAGCAGTCCAATAACAACAAGGATGAGTACAAAGCTCTGACCTGCAGCTGGGTACCCAGGAGGCAGCCAGAGGAACCTCATGCAGATCTCAGATTGCTACTGGCTTCTTTAATATTTGAGGGTAGGAAATGTATTTGATTAATTGTGACAAGTCATCTGGCTGGTAATACAGATTCTTCTTCAGATCCATTATTTCTCAGCTCTGCATAGGTATGTACTATGTACACAGAATACTGAATGAAAATAATACTGACATGTATTTTACACAACAGCAAGTTACTGGGAGCTCAGGCAGCATTTTATTTTGGAGAACATGTTTCTGGTTCTGACAGGTGCAGTAAATGCCACTACTGGAAAAAAAACAAACCAAAACAACTTCACATGAAATTACTTATATTTCTTAAAAGGAGGGTCAAACTTTTGTTGACTAGCGACAAGATCAAAATGTTCTCAGCTGAAGATGGAAAAACAACATTCCTCCCAAAATAGGAGGAATTCACTCTGCTGGGTAAGTAAATGCCTGTAAAAATCAAAGACCCTCACTGCCTGCTAAGACACAATCTGTGCACAGCCCTTCTTAAAGTACTGGGGTGTTTTCAATTCACTTACATTTTTGACAACCAAAGAAAGGTATTAGGTAAAAGGTTACCTTTAGGTAAAAGGTAAAACCTTTAAGGCATTAACCCCTGACAGATTATATGCAGTTACAAACTCTTTTTGGCAAATAATGCTAATGAACGGCTGCCTGAAAGGCTGAAAGTCTGATATTTCCAGGATTTTGAGTGAGAAAATTATCGAGCTATTCAAAATTGTAAGATTGATAAAATTTCAGAAAGCATTAAGCAGTCCTAGGGAAATTAAACACTTTCCAAATATTCTTTACTGCATGACATTATCATTTCAGCAGATTCAGACAAGGTATAATTTACATTTACAACCTTACCTTTACTTTTAGTTTTGTTTTTTAATCAATTGTCATCAGTCTACAAATTTAATTATTTTGATTTTTCTTAATAAAAAGTCATAATGGATTACACCCTGAAAGCTGTTAGACCTGGTACAAAAACTGCATTTCCTCAACAATGTGACAAAGAACTGCAGCTAGCTCAGTGACAAAGAGCATGTTTTCCAAAATATGTCTCCAACAAATGTGCATGAATTTTTGTCACTGTGAGCAATGATTTATTTCCAGAGACCTAATGCAGCACCAAATGACAAGGGGCACCTTTCTCCTTTGATGGAAGGAGAACTGCTTTGAGTTCAGCCAGAGCAGCAGGACTTTATAAAAGGCCATGTAGTGACAGGATAAGGGGTAGGGGCTTCAGCCTGACAGAGGGCAGGTTTAGGTGAGATATTAGGAAGGAATTGTTCCCTGTGAGGGTGATGGGGCCCTGGCACAGGCTGCCCACAGAAGCTGTGGCTGCCCCATCCCTGGAAGTGTTCAAGACCAGGCTGGATGGGGCTGCAGTGAAAGGTGGTTTGGAACTAGGAGATATTTAAGATCCCTTTCAAGCAAAACCATTCCAAGATCTCTTAAAGCCTTCCAGCCCAAATCAGAGATTTTAGGCTTAAGACAGAAAAGATGAAGAGAGGTCTAGATTTTTTAATCAGCTACACCAGCCCCCCACACACGACGTGCTCCCTTCAGCAGGTACCTTGCCAGCGTAATGCTGAATCCTGAAGCAGCTGTGAGGCAGGGAGGTGTCATTGAGGAACCGGGAGCACTTGCTCATCCTGCTCTCAAAATGCTGGTGAGTGGCACAGACCTGGTTCAGTTTTTCTAAAAAGGTGTCATCGGTAACAGTTCCCGGTCTCAGGCATTCTTCATCCAGCATGGCCAGGATTCCAGTTTGGTTCTGAAGTTTCAAAACAAGAGCTCTAGTACTTGTTTCCATCACAGCACAAAAAAGAGGCCATTCACTTGTTTGATTTCTTCTACCCAGAAAAACATTCTTTGAGCCATCTCAAAGTTTGGATCTTTTTACCTCATGACCATTTCCAATTGATTTTTAGCACTTGCATTTTTGAAAGACTTTTTATGAGATCTGAATCCTGAAATTCACATTGAAACTTCTTGTCAGTTGTTCTGACAAGCAACTCTGACTGGATACTGAAAGTATCCAGTGTATGGTAAAATCATCATGTATTTTATGTTAATGGTCAAAAACTGTTCTTTTCTGATTGTTAAGGAATTTTATCTTTCTTGCATTTGAAGTCTTCTCAGTATATACAAGTACTTTGAGTACCTCAAACACTCAATAACAAGTAATTGAGTTTTTTGATTTCCATATGAAAAGAAATATTAATTACAATGCAGCATGTGATATTTGCTATGGAAAACAGCCCTAAATGTAAACATTTAAGAGCTGTTTAATCTGGGTTTGTTGGGGGCTCTTTTGTGTAGGTACAGCTGAATATTTCTACAAAAGTAACATAGTTCATAAAAAAGAACCTTTGTAGTAAAATAAACTTCTACCACACAAAGTAAGATGAATAATACAATGAAGGGCATGTTTCACAAAATTTAGTGCATGAGGATGCATACAATGTTACAGCTAAATTAAATCCACGCATTAAAAATTATCCAGAGATGTTCTTGAATTCAACTTACGTTTTCTATTAGGTCACAAATGATAGCATTGTTGAAATATTCAATATGAGTCCATTCAATCCCCTATAAAAAATATAAATACATGTGTGAACAGCAAGACAATGAAGGGAGCTTTTCCTCTAGGCAATTAAAATACTATTCCAGTTAACCATGGTGCTACTTTCAAATTTAATCCTTCATGCTTACCAACAATTCATTTATTAAGGAAAAAATAAATGGCAATCATCTACTACTAACATTATCTGCACAAAATGAGTGTCCTTGAGCGGCTGCCAAAGTCGCTCTCCATTCCTTTCCCCCACCCATGTCAGCTTCCCATGCACTCCCTGGCTCCAGGCCAGGCTCCTCCCGTGCTGCCCATGCTTCCCACTGGCCAGAAGGAAATCAGCCCATGTCACTGCAAGCTCCTGAGATCAAAATTTCTAACTTCTTCGTTGTTGGGTTTTTTTTGTTTTGTTTTGTTTTCTTTTTTTTAATGGGAGGAAGAAAGAGGGCTAAATTTAGACAAGACCATTTGAAAAATCCAGAGTATGACTGTTGTTCAGATGTTCTTAATATCTCAATTTTTTTTCGAACATCAGTGATAACATTTACAGCATGAGATGCCAAGGCATCACGAGGTAGCACTGGTAGGGCAAAGGACTGAAAGAAGGAAAATATTAATTTCATTCTTAATTTGCACTCTGTGGTACTTCTTACAGTTTACTTTTCTCAGAGCATTTGAAATATCATTCAAGAACCAAATTGCAGTAATGATCGTTCACCACTGAATGCAAAATTAAAAAGAGATGCTGAAATTTCATGCTATCCTCATGATCATAAGGCAGAAACTTTATGTAATTTTTAAAAATGTTTATACAGCAAAGTGGTATCATCCAGTTTGAGCACAGACAGTGTGTGCCAGTTTTTACAGCTGGCAGCTGCTGTTTTGTCTGAGCTCTGTGTATCTGTGGAGTGTGGAGCACTGCTAAAACCTATTAAAACTTTAGCTTGATGATCACTCACAGAATAACATCAAAAACCAGAGGCTGGGCTCCACAGGACACCTTAAATTTATCCATGAAGCTCACAGGGCTCCCTTCAATACAAACCTGAAAGAACACTAGAACCAAAACCTCATTTGCAGTTTCTTTTGTGTGCTATTACCTTTGCCACCCAGTTCCCTCTGAGGAAGGACTGGCTGTGGCTATTCTTGGGGTGCATCCCAGACACTGCTGTATAATCCAAAACACAGGCTGCAGGGTAATGGCACTAGCACCAGAAAGTGGCATTAGTGCTCTAATAAACCAATTAGCCCTTGCTCAGAACTCCCAGTCATTGTTGCCAATGAATGAATCAGAGCTGGGTCTTGTTTTCTGGAGAACTCATAATGTGAAACAAATGCCAAACCAACATTTTTTGCTTGATGTAACTACCACACAGCCCCACACAAACATGCTCCATGTCAGTCCTGTGGTCAAAAATTGCCTCTGTTGCCTGAAAAATGGTTCCAGCCTGCATGTCTGTGTATCTTTACAGGGACAGTGGGAGGAGGATAAGGAAAGATCCAGTCAAGTATTACCTCTCGGATGTATTCCTCCTGCTCTTCTTTGAGGGTAAGTTCAATGAAGATCTGCTGCAACTTCTCATTACAGTAGTTGATAATGAATTGCTCAAAGCTGTTGTCCTGTCAGATGAAACATGTTTGAGTTTGCTTTGTGTAAACAGCCTGGAACCCAGCTGGACTGAGTTACTGCAGCAGCTGCAGGTCGACAAGCTGCTGCATTAACTACTCCTTCCAGTTTTGTGATGTGATGGTTGGAGTAATATTTGATTGAGATCACAATTAGTTTAGAAATTTTAGACCAAATCCTTCCCTGAGGCTTTGTCCATTGGGAAGGACAAAAACCTCTGTAGGTTTTATTCATGATGCCTCCACACTGATTCCTTTTAACAAGTTATAAGGACACCTGTGGTGTCAGGGAATAAACAAACAAAGTTTTGCCTGCACTAATCTGTCCCCATATGTAAAATGTAGTCTCCTGCGGGATCTGATAAATAAAATCATGACAGTAGCATTAGCTCTTTTCCACTCAGCAGCCAATAAAGCATCCTATTTCCCTACAGAACAAGGCTCAAGCTGCTATTCCAGTTGCAGCTGAGCCTGGGTTAAGAGATTATTGGCTCCAGAGGTCAACCCACCTCCTCCCTGCCAACAAACTGCCCCTTGAAATGATGGGAAACAAAAGAGCTTCATTGACTAAAATTCCTCTAACAGGCTAATTCATCTAAAACTGGGTTAGGGAGCAAGCAGATGTGTGACCCTTTGCAGAAGGGACCAGGGAGTGGAGCAAACCCCAGCAGGAGGGGTGGGCACAGGAAGGAGGCTTGGTGACTGCCGCATCGCAGGCTGTGACGTGACACTGCCTTTTTAAACTACCAAATAATCTGCTGTACAGTACATCTGAAGCTTAAATTATGCTGATAGAATTTTTATCATTGAAGGGCAATCATTTGAATGTTTGAATTAAGGATCTGGTTGCTAAATGAGATTAAGAACACACAAGCAGATTAGAAAATATTGAGGTAGCACAGATTACTTTTATCATTTTAGTTTTAAATGAAGCAAAATCATAGCTGATCACCAAAATTCCTCAGCCACAAATTCTGCCCCTCTCACCAACTGCAATTATCACTCAGAGATTGCAAAACTTGCATAGCTCTAGATGAGAGAGTTAAAATTTGGCATGCAGCAAAATCAGCACTGCAAACAAGTCATACTTACTGCATTCTGTTGAAAAAGAAATTACATAAACTGCAGTCAGTACTTATTCTACTTCCATAACAGCAAAGAATATATCTATTAGCATTTATTTAGCATAACAAGTAGATCAGTCTCTGTATCACTGAAAATGCAAAGTACTACATAAATGTTATGTATCACATCTTGCTCACATATGTAGGTGAGTCTATCTTTAGGTACTGTCTAAATATTATAAAATAAACCAAGAGGTTGAGACACATCAGAGTCTAACACAGAACAGCGTTTTTGCATTGTCCTGTCTCTAAATCACCAGTTAATTTTTCCTCTAAAAGTCATTTTTATAACCTTGGGCATACAAATGTCTGCAAAAGAAGAAGAGAATGTGGAAGGGAATAGAGAATACTGGAGGAAGAATGAGTGTAAGTTTATTTGACACATCCAGATAAGGCCATCACTTCAGATATACTTGAGTGTGAAGGAAAAGGACCCCAACTGTCACATCACCCAGACAAAGAGAAAGGGTAAAACACACTCTGCATCCTCCTGCCAGGCATGTGCCACCCACCTCTGAGAGACTGCTTCTCCAAAAGACCAGGTTATTCTGATTAAAGGGGCTGCAGGACTATTCACTCACAAATTATACAGGCTTGGTCATCAAGAGAGGATGGAAACTGAACAGAAAATCTAGCTAAACCATCTAACTGAAAGGTCATTAACAATACATTAAAGTAATTGCTAGATGTTTTCCTGATTTGCTGTGTATCTGTGATATTTATGGCCTGCCAAAAAAAAAAAAAAGGCAAACCAAAATCCATAGAGTTCACAAATCGCTCACTTTGAGCTCTGAAATTCTATTTGACATTGCCAAGCCACTGAAAATTGCTATTCCAGGAAAAAAGTTATTGAAGAGCAGCAGCAATGTTGTTCTTTATGAATAACACAGAGCAAAAGGCAAAGACAGTTAATTTTGGCAAAGAAAATGAGGGAAAACGTATGAAATTACTGAACTTCTCAAAACACTTAACTCTGAGCAGACCAGAAGACATTTGGTAAATTAAATACGCTTCAGAAAAGTGTAAAAAACCCTGAATGAAACAAAACAGAGTGTTTGTCTCTAAGCAATTCTAAGGTAGGCAACAGAGGTTGTGCATTTATCCTCATTCATAATGATGAATATCTCTGATTTTTAATCATGTGAGGGCTCCACAAAGCATATACAAACATTCACAAATGAGAATAACCTATATCATAGTGATAGCACATCACTAAACCCACTCAGGAGACAGGGGCTGGAGGGACCCAGACTCCTCATGTTGACCACTTGTATGAAGTGACACAGAGGGGCAGCCAGACCCAAAAATTGAGGAAAAGCTACCAAATATTCTTAGGAAATTTTAAGGTGGGAAAAGAATAAAAATTAAGACCATATCTTCTCAAGGTGTCAGCTTCTCTTCCAGGCTGTAATTCTGCTACTTTTAATGTCGAGGGCATCACTTCAATCCCTGCATTTTAATAGCAGCTTTCTAACTATGCCTTTGAAACAACTGTGGAATACAAAATAAAACCTTCAGGGAATGTAAAAGTACACAGTCTCTCAAATGAAATAAAGGTGCTGGGAAAACAGAATTTCACCTGAGATAGGCTTAAAGTCATGTTGAATTTATAGATTTACAGCTCAACCAACCACCCTCAGCTTATCCTCTGAATCTTTTATCAGATGCAACACTAAATTTAGAGGAGTAGAAAAATTCACTGACAAAAATCAAAGCATACTTCACCATGGTTCTCACTTCACAAATAACAGTGTCTTGCTCATCAGCTTAATTCTTTACCAACCTTCATGGTTGGTATTTCATGAATAACAAGTTTGGAACTCTAAAAAAATTATTCTCCATGCAAAAATAAAGTGATCATATATACTAGCTATAAAGTTCTATCTGTGAGCCACAGCTATTACATACAGGTGCTTGAAAGTCCTACAGAAAATATTCTTTTGTCCTTAATATTTTACCTAACTTCTTCAAAGATTCCTGTGTACCATGGAATCATCTGAAAAAAACATACATGGTTTGTTGCTGACTTTATACATTTTTATACCACAAAAATACCAATGTGAAACAGACAAAAATATTTCTCTAGAAAAAAGAAAAAAAAAAAAAAAAAGAAGCTAAAAATCTCTTACTGGTTTCAGGCAGAAATATCTACATTAGATTTATGAACACAAAATATCTAAAACAGGGCCTTTTCCTCTCAACATTAGATACTTTCTAACCTTCTCTCCCCACACAGAATTCAAATTCACTTTTAAGTGCCCAGCTTCCAACAATTTCCAAAGATAAAGCAACTAAGATACCTGCTTAAAACTGAAAACTGGGTACCTTACCATTAGGCAGAAATAAATTCTTTACTTCCACCTGCCTAATAAAGTCTAACTTTAAGTGTTCCATTTTTTGTGTCTTCTCTACTGTTTTCCCCAAATTAAGCAGATCCACACCTACAGACTCAGGTTTATCACACTTTCACAGGTGTTTCTCAATGTCTCCTCTTCCTTCTTAATCTTTCACCACACCATTCTTATTCAGAGGCAGAGAAATCTTGTTCAGATTCAAAAATCTCCACATTGCTCAAGTCTGCAGCACACTGACAAAAAGGTGTCCAGCAACACTTTTTCAAAGACATTATGTGAACACAATACAGCTAAAGTAATACATGAGATATATTTAATGGAAAAGCATCTTTTAAAAGAAAACACTAAACATTTCAAGCCATGAGACTGTTGAAGTACAGAGAACTGATGTCACTAAAATGAACTTTTACATCAGTGTGAGCGGGGAAAAAGACATACAGAGACTGGTACTTCTGCTCTATCACAAATAGCCCCAGAAAGTCAGGTTTTTAAAATATCAACACAGTTCCAGGCATCAGAAGTCTCTGACTGCCTCCTAACATAAGCAGGTGACCCCAAGTAGCTCCATCAAGCCCCTAGAGAAAATGCCAGATGGCAAAAGTAATGATGATAAAAGACCAACATACTCACTTCACTGAGATGAATGGTGGAATGAAGAGTGAAACCAACCAGCAAATTCAATTTATATGCTACTGTGGTGTCTGGGGATAGGGGGTTTTATGTATGACCACACAAGCATACGAGTTTATGAGATGAAACTAAGGAATATAAATGCTCGGAAGTTAAAATCAGCAAAATGGGAAAATTGCATTTAAAGAAAATGAAAAAAGATTCTATTTTAATCTCAGAAAGCAATGACCCAGTTATAACATGACTCACTTATAATTTTTCAAAATTTTTTGCCAATTCAGTAAAGGCATGTTATCAAGATTTATCCCTTTCTTTTCTGTTTACATATACAAACATTTAAGCAATCAAGCTTATTTCCTGTAAACTAGACTGCTCTGGGCTTTTGTGTAAATATCTCTATAGGCAAAGAACCAGAGAGGCACATCTTCTAATTATAAATATTCCAGTATATGCAATCAAGCCACGTTTCAGTGTACCTCAGGGAAGCTGCAGGGATTATCCATTTTTCATATCTGTGTAGCTCAACCAACTTCAGCCCTCTTTGTGTGCCAGGTAGAGAACCAGGAGCTCTAAAATCCAGCTTGCTCCCAGCTGTGCTGTCCAGGCACACAGCTCTGAACCAAATTTGGACTTAAAAGGGCAAGAAACTACAGTGAATCCAGTGAAGGTGTGATTCGTGGGAAAATGCAGGTACTATCACTTCAACAAACTCAACCTGATAAATTAAAGTCCTGGAACAACAGGAATTACAAAAAGGAAAGAACCTCCTGCATAATCAGAACCACTCCTCTGCTGAGACAGAAATAGCTGCTGTAGGGCAAAACATTATTCTCACAACCTGAAGCAGAACATTTGTGTATTTTTTGCTCAGCATTTCAAGTATTTCCTTTGTTGCAAACAGCCAGCCAATGGGATTTACTTCATAAAATTGCATGTTGTGAAATAAGACTCTCTAAATACTTCTGGTATAATAAGATTAATTAAATGGTCGTTAACTTCCTGGGATGCACCTCTGTTTTGAGCATCCCATCACTTAAGGAAATTATTGCTTTACAGTATTTTAAAACCTCCCTGGCACCTAGGAGTCCAACCAAGGTGCTGCCAACCAAGGTCTCTGTAAAGCTCCTCTCTCACATAACACTTGCCAGCAGAGGTAATTGATCAATTATAGATTAAAAATTCAGTTCTCCTCTTTCCCACTAGACTGGGGTTTGCCAGAAGAAGCAGAGGGCTGGGTACACACATTTTGGCAATGCCGCTTGCCAGCATATGATAAACTCCTGGGCATCAGCAAAGGGTTGAACAACTTCAAAAAGAAAATCTGTTGCAAGGTAGAGTAGAAAAAGCAGCTGGAAATTATGGTCTGGAGAACAGGGCAACTAACAAAACAGATATCCATGGATGAGTTAAAGCCAAAGTCGAGACATGAAGAATGGGTTGCCAGATTCTTAAAAAAAAAGAAGGGAAAAAAAAATACATCCTAATAAGTCTATTTCCTCCTTGGATCTATTTATCTATTTATTTATATCTAATATGTCATCCTGCTAGCAAATAACTATATCCTTCTCCCTTCAAATAATCCTTTGGGGTGTTAGAGGAAGACCCTGATCCAGGAGCACTCTCTCAGAGCTCAGTATGCTCTGAAACTGCAATGTCCTTCATGTAATCAACAGGACAGAAAAAGGCAAAGCAACCAGTCAGCAACTGGACCAAGTTGTTGAACAGGTTTAGGGTGAAGTTGGAAATATCTCCCCCATTTTTTCATGACTTAAACACCTCAGAAAGACATTTTCAATGATTACTTCTTATTTGGTTACCTCTCTCTAAAAACAGACAACACAATTATGAACTTGTTAATATGAAGAAAACATTCTTCATATTTCTAGCATATTCCCTCAATAGAGATACTATCATTTTCTTCTTGTCCAGATAACAGCTTACATAGTACATGCAGCAGGACCAATCTTTTTTCTGTCACCTCAAGGGACTTCTATGCACAAGAACCAAGCTAATTGCTTTAAATAAAAAGAAGTGCTATCAAAATGCACCACAGACTGTGAGAAATGGACCTGGTTTTACTGCTGGGTTGCTCGTTTGGCTGGCTTACTGGTGACATTTTTATTTACCGGTGGGTTTTACACAGAATGTGGTGGGTTCTGCCATGTCTTTGCACGTTCCTGTCTACCTGGAGCAAGAGGAGTTGGTCAGATGCTGTCCCAAAAGACAAGGCAGTCACATCACATCTGGTCAACCAAATGGAACTGGTTGCTCTCTGCAACCCTATCACCAGTGCCTCTCAGGCTCCTGTCAGGCTGAAAAATGTGGAACAAACTGCTCCACCAAGGGACTGAGCAGAAAGTACTCACACTCTCAAACTGTCTTCTCAAGGCCTGGCAAATTTCAACAAGCCTTGTTTGGCAGCGTTAACTTCCATAAAACTGAACTCCAAATCATTAACTTCATCATATGGACCAGCTGCAGAGTGGCGCCTGGATATTCAGAACAAAGCCCTTCAGCCAACTAGCACAGACAGACATTTCTATCTCTGAAGGGCTGGGCGGGATGAAATGCTCACACTTGCTCCAGGACATTCATTTTTATATACCCTACTTCTTGTCTCCACAGGAAATGCACACAACAGGAAACTCAAGACCCAAAGCAACTGGAGAGAGCCTTCTGCTCATCTCTGCCGAGCGCTGCCAGGCCCCCATCATCTGCCTCCTACAGCCTTCGCTTCTTGATCACAAACCCACCCTTCCGCCCCACCCCCACACTCTGCAGAGATGCAGAAACAGCTTTCTGCCCAAAAACACACAATCAAACATGGAATAAAACAGGAACAGCCCCAAACCGACCCCAGGAAGCCTGGAACCAAACTGATTCTAAAACTCCCGGTGCCACCAGCCATCATTCCTGCCCCATCTCCGCACGCAGCCGCTCAAAAATGTGGATAAACATACTTGGAGCAATTAGTGTCAGGCTTCAGGCCACTGCCCAAAACTCCAGCAGCACAGTTACACAACCAGCCCAGCCCTCCAGCCTGCATTTTCACGCTAATCCTAGTCCCTAAAGCCTTGCCCACAGACAATTCACACAGAGCCACCCAAAATTTCAGCCTTTCGTTTTGCAAACATTCAGTCCCAGCACTTGGCTTACCACAAAAGGCATGGCAGGATTCAAAAATAAACACAGCTTTACAGCACCTATTTTGTGGATTGCGTAGCCAAGCTTGCTGCTGACATCTGCCAAACCCACAGAGGCTGAGGATTATTGATAGATTTAAATTCCATAATCTGAATTTTTAGACAGCCAAGTCCTTATATCTACTTTCTTGGATGGCTTTTGTGTTTGTCTGAAAAATGGGGTTTGTGTTTGATAAATAATACTAGCAAAACCCAAATCCTAAAGAGTATGTGCCAGCAGAATCAGTACTTCAGTTATTGTTTCTCTGCTAATTTCCAAGAAACCTCCAGTTACCCTTATAAATTAACTTCAGTTTAAATTGCAGAAAATTGCAGAAACCAGAGTGAACCGTAAATAAATGAATCTTTCAAAAATGGATGAAAAAAAATTTCTCATTTAAAGGCTTCAATTTGCATAAAATAGAACAAGACTGCTATTGTCATCAAGAAGGTGAAATGTATAATCTTTCAGAATGGAAAATCTGTATTTCTTTATTCACTCTTCTTACACAAGGAACTGTAGGATGATCCAAAGAATCATCCTGAACAGAAAAAAAGGCCAGAGAAATATTGTGCTCTGCCCATTAGGAAACAAAAACCTCAAAAACACAGGGGAAAAAAAATTTTATGTAAAAATCACCCTTCAGTAAGCATATTCCTTGTTGCTTATTCGAATGGTATTGAGCTTCCTGCGTAAATATTTTGCATATATATAAAACACTCCTGCTACACCTCCTGTGGGTTTTGATACATTCTGTCTCCAGGGTACAAGGCCATTTCAGGTCAAAGACCACGCACTAACAATAAACTTACCTGATTCCCCAGTAGAAACATGATTCATGTAGGCCTTTCTAGCCTCAGCACATCAAACAGCTTGCACGTTTAAAAGGCTCAAATTTAGAGATGAAGCCTTTCAAGTGCACCTTTGCCAACAAATATTCTTTGTAGAGCTGACACTAGTTCTAACTCTCAGGAAAAGATGTGAAAATCAAAATATGACTAAAGAATTGGGTTCAAGAGGGAACTGCACATTTTTAGTCATAGATTTTAACTGATTTATAATTAGATGGATATGTTACTGTCATTAGCTACACCTCAGCTAATATTCTTGAATGTTATAAATGTATCACACAGCAAAACACTCCAAATTCCACTGTATTTGTTATGCTATAAATCTTAATACAGTATTAAATTTTCCTTGCCTTATGTGGCTGCATAGTATCAAAATGTTATTTATTGATTAGTTGCTTTAATATAATTAAATTTAAACAATAATTCAATTATTTCTGTGATGCTGAACACCAAGCTGCTTGGCTACTATGCTTACCACAGGTCTTAACTCATGAGAGAGAGTCACACCTTGTATGAATGTACTGATGGATTTGGTCCTCAAGTCACAAGGCAAGACCCTCCCCACCTTTTCCAGGAAAACCAACACTTGGCATTTAAAGGAGTGAACAGTAACTACCCTCATTATTTTTAAGTTTTCAAGAAAGCCACGCTGTAATTCAATGTGACAGATAAGTGAAAAGAGCCCTGGGGTTTTTTTTTCATTTTTCTCCTGCACTCAGCCACTTACTTATGACCTTCTAAGATGCTGAATGTAGAAAAGATGAAAATTACGTGTGAGAAACAGCCTGGTCTCTGGACAAACACAGCCCTTCAGCTGGCTCATGTGCTGGTGCAAGCTTCTGTCTCCCACCTCCCTGTGCATGTCGAACCTAACCAAACACAGGGCAGCCAGAATAAACAAGCCCTGCCTGAGGAGGATGCCAGCAGCACCATCCCAGTGCCAGCTTCCTACAAGCTGCTCCAAGGAGCGGCTCTCAACAGATGTGGCACCAAGATGCCCGCTCAGCCACCTGACCTCCTGCACGGTATTTTCATAAATATGCTCTTGTGTTTAATGCAAACAACACAAGGGCTCAGCAAGCCCTTGGGGCAACTCTCAGCCTTCCTTGTCCTCTCCACAGAGCTACTCTGATTTGCACATGGTTGGATGCTTTGCTTCTGCAATGAAACTTACACCACCCTCACATAAACAATTACTCTTTCCTGGATTATTCCCATTTTCCACACAGCTTAAACACCCTCCCCAGATTTCTAAGAGGGATGTAGGGAAGTGGGTCAGGACTGCATGTTTTCTACTGATTTTTTTTTCTCCTCAGATGAGTTTCTAGTTTAAACACATACAGATTCCAACCAAGATCTATAAATCTCTTAACAAAAAGTGTCAGAACAAGATTTATGAAAATGCTCTACCCCTGGTGCTCTCTAACCCAATTAAAAACTCCTCACGGATTGTTTTGTTTCAAAATACCACCAGTCTAAAAATACTATTGTAAACAAACAGCAGTGAGCCACAGATCTTTAGCTAGGAATAGGTACAGAGTATTTATCTAAGTGAATTGAGATGAAATGCAATATAAGTCCTTGTTTAATTTCGACAGGAAAAAAAATGTATAGTTTTTGTTGGGTGGTTGATTTTTTTCTTCCCCTCTCAGGATACACAGCTTGTTCAAAGACATCCACAAAATGCCTCAGGGCAGAAATGACAGTGCCAGAGTTTCTCCTATGCTCAGAATGTATGTCACAACAAAATATATTTAGTTTATCCATCATAAATATTTATTTATCTATGGTGCAAAAGCACAAGTTTGACTTTCATAATTTTTTGTTTCAATTGCCAGACATGTTAAGCCATCTCTCTCTGGCTTACTCTTCTAGTGTGTTTTTTGTTTTGTTCTGTTTTTGTCAGGCATGACACACTTGAGTCAAATTACATATATTCCGATTACAAATTTATGAACAACTCTGATAAGCTTTAATAACAGTTCTCTCACTAAATGGTTGCCATTATAAAGGTCTTACCTCAAAAATTTCAAAGCCATAGATGTCCAACACCCCCATTACCTTCTTTCTCACTTTTGTTTGTGCCTTAAACAAAATTAAACATTGAATCATTCATCTGCACATTGCATACTTGGGATGCAAGAAAATGCATGTATCTCATAAGTAGACTGTCAAATACTGTAAAACTAAAATATTAAGTATGATTTCCCAATATACACTTAATGTGAATATATTTATAAGCTTAAAGAGCAGAGAGCAATTTGTTGAGCTGTGATATGGTTATTTGCGTGTAACAGTGTACAGCCGGGAGAAATTAAATTTGCAAATACAGTTTTACTGTCCACTTTAATTTAAAGGATTTCTATAGATTTTTTTATTTTTTTTTATGATTTTTTTTCCAAGCACAAAACTACAATACCTTAATGCTCTCATTAATCCTGGTAACAAGCCAAGAGAACAGCCGACTGTATAAATTCTTAGCCAGAGCATCACGGGCATAATAAGCCTAAAGAGAAGAAAGAAGAAAAACGTTATAAACTTTTTATAAATGTTTTATAAAAAAACATTTTCCTGCTGCTGGCATGTCTTAAAGGTGCTATGAACTGAGTAAAACCAGCACAGGGAGCACTTGCTCTGCCCTCTTGGCCGCAGGCTGGTTGGAAGAACATCCACAACCAGGGCACTCCAGCTGGATTCCTGCTCTTCCAGCTGCCCACTGAAGACTCACATCCCCCATCCCAATCCCAGGCAAAGGGACAGGAGCAGCTGCAGCTGCAGAAGCCACGTTCCTGCTAGCCTGAGCTGACGAGACACAGGTGGCAACCAGCCTGGCTCTGCAGCATTACGGGGAGATGAATTCACACTGGCAGAAAAGGTTTTTCAGCAGCCCGGGGCCTACAACTCACATAGAATTACATTTCCTAAATGGAAACAGTCTGCCACAGCACTTGCAACATGTGCTTTGTGCAGGACTGCTTGGTTTTTCATTCTCTGCAACATTTGCCTATCCCTCATCTTTTGGAGGTAATTCACACACAAAACCCAAGCACCCCGTATCTCTTAACATTTAGAAACCACAGAACAAAAAACACACTTATGCTTGTGATTTATTCAGTGCAGCCTTTTAGCTGTAGTTTTTATCAGGGTAGTTATGATTCAGTCATGCAGAATAAAATTGCTATTTAAAATTATTCTTGCCTTTTAAATCAGGACCTCTTTTTACCTGAGCCACATTTAGTGTTGTTGAAACTTTCTCTTGTTTGGCCTCAACTGTTCGGAAGCTGAAAGCTCTCTCCAGTACAGATTGGTCTATACCTGTCAACTCACAGATTTCCTTGAGTTCTAGCAAGAAAAAGCAAAGTGTAAATACAATGAACCCTTTCTTATTATTGCCTCTTCTTCCCCAAAACTACCAGCTTTTAAAAAGTGTGATATTCCCCCAAAATGCTCTGGAACAGAAGTGTTCCCCTTTCGCACTCTCTCCCCACCACCCTGCCAAGCAAAGTTTTTAAAAATATGCAGAAAGCAAGGAAACAGAGCTACTGGTTTTGAAAGCACTTTCTATCCACTTATTTTTGAGAAGAAACTTTCCCTCCATTTATGGCAGACTATTTTTCATAATGAAAAGCATTCAGATGAAAATGAACTTTCAAAATACATCAGCTGCAAGAATATCACCAAATGAATCTGACACTAAAGACAGAGATACTGCAAAAGAACAAAAATCCTACACTGCAGAAAAAAGAAGCAGCCACATAAAGGCACGGGACCATTTAACATTGTAGAATAAAGTGCTAATAAAGTGGGGGAAAAAAAAAAATAATAATTTTTGGAATTTCAAACAGAATGATTGAAATTGCCCAGAATGCAGCCCATAGCTGCCTGAGGGTGAGCTCTGGAAACAAGCTAATTTAATTCATATGTAAGGATATTGTATGTCTGCAGAAACAACAAAATTAATAATGACTTCAGACAAATTAGTGGCTTTCCTCCCATCACTAATCTCATCTTACCATTTTTATCTTTGATTTTACTTTCATCTAGGCCATTTGCACGAGATTCAGGCTTAAATTCGATATTTCCCAATTTCAGAACGGCTGCCACTACTTCAAAAACCGACTGTGTTTCATGATCCATAAACCCAACAATCTGCATTGCATTCTGGAAAGGGGACAAATAAAATTATAAGATAAAAGCATCTACATTTAAACAGATCATACTTGAAAAATTCCCCATTTATCTGCCTTAATTACAAATGGTTTATGAACACTTCTGCTACTGAAAGTACATGCTATAATTAGTGTGCTAGTAAGGTTTTTAATACACAGGAGGTGTGAAAATGGAGCTGGCATTCAGTCCAGTCCATTCCTAGGACTCATTCAATATTTGGGTTTCTGAAACGCTGTACTCTTTTTAGCCACTTAATTTCGTTTGTAACCCAGCCCAATTTTTCCCAGTCAAATGAACAGGTACTCCTGTCTTTTAAGAGCAGTCACTTTTAGAATCCATATTTGCATACACTGGGTAACAAGGTCCTGTATTCATCTTGTTCCTGAGTACAACCAAACAAAAACATGACAGCAAATCATCTTGAGAATCATCCCAGTCCTCTTTCTCTTTCCTCTTGGACAGCATCACCTAGTCCCTAGGGCTCAGTCACTGTTGTCCTAAGCCACTACAAAATATAACTTCTCCCAGGATCTGACCAAAGCATCTGGGCCTTTTTTTACCTCTTCTTTTGCTTTCTTTTTGCTTGTTTGTTTGAGGGAGGTTTTTTTGGGGTTTTTTTAATTCTTTTTTTTTTTTTTGTCCTTTTTGTATTCCTATAAGAATACTCCAGAAACTTGACCCTATTTCCTAGCTGTATCTATGTTTCCCTGTGCAAACACGCTCTATCCAAGCATGACGAGTGCCAGCACTCAGAAAAGATGGCCCTCCCAGCCCAGCCCTGCATGAGCAGACAGACCAAGGGCCATAAGAATCCTGCAGTGCTGTTGAGTGCACAACCAGCCCCTGCTCCTTCTTACCCTGACTGTTCTGAAGTTTGAAGCATCATCCACTCCATTCACTCTGGCAGAATCAAGGCCCAGGTAGTTGTATCTGCTGAAGTCCCTCTCCAGCTTGAGTTTGCCTAACAAATCAAATAAAAATGTCATTAGTAATAGCACTCTTGTTGGTAGCAATTTTATCCCAGAATCAGTATTGTCAGGAATAGTTTGTTATTACTGGATGTTCTTCAAGGATCTTCTAATTGTTGGCCTTCTGAATCAGAACAGGTTTTTAAATTTGTTTAAAATACATTGCTAAGCCAATTCTGACTCAGGTATCTGGATAATATCAAAGCATATGTGGACTTCGCATATTACCAATGACACTACCATCAATAATTTGAAAAATGAGGCCATATCACACTTCCCACAAAAGATTATGTATGTGGAATAGTCATTAAATACAAAGAAAACTCATATCTGAACATGGCACAAGAGCAATACTTACAGAGAAACTCTTCTGATGCACCAGACAGGATCTGATAGAAAATGTGGAAGTTTCTTTCACCCCTTGGCTGCTTCACAACACGAGACTTCTCTAGTAGATCTAAACAAACAAATAAAAATCTCACAGGTCAGGGGCAGACTGCTGGAGCAGAACCCTTTAAAATGTATATAACCCTCCATCATTTCCTACTTCATTGCTTTATGTCACCATCAGCAAACCAGAAGATGGTTGGTATGAACCTTATCCTAGTATATCATGCATCTGAAGTATTTCTTTGAGCTAGGGGCAAGCCCAGTGCTCTGGTAAAGGCTGCAGTCTATGAGCTGCAAAGAGAATTCAGGTCAAGGAGGCAATGTGCTCCAAAAATGTTAACTGATTTACAGTACCACGACCAAATTAAGATTTGGAGAGGATAACTCTGTGGGTGAAAGTTTGAAGAGAGGCAAAATGTTACCAGGCTAAGTGCATGAATGATGGGTAAATGAAAAGGAGAGACCTAATAAAGAAAGCATTTAAACCAAACAATCTTGAAGCACTTTGTGATCCTCAGGTGTATCAGACTATGAAATAATTCCCAGTGGGGCTGACAGAAGCTGGTATACTTAAAGCAAAAAGGAAAAGCAGCACTTTGAAAAGCATCACTGCACTGATGGAGTAGCTTGACAGGAAGACTGCTCTCAGTGACAGACACATTCCTAAGCCTTGTCCACGAGGGCAGGAATCCAGGCAGGCAGCATAAGCAGACTGACTTGTAACACCTTTCAACCACTTCAGACTCAACATCATATTTACCACAGAGGTGATAATTCAAAGCTTGTTCAGCCTGCACTGCACTGGAAGGCTGTGGTTCACAGCACTCCAGAAGGAAGAGGAATGCAATAAGAGAACAATGTAGACAGGTATCAGTGTGACCTGCTGGTTTTGTACAAAACTTATGGGTTTTTTCTTCTTTTCTCACTAGCACAACTACATTTTTCCAGATAGCAAACACAATTCCCATGTGTTTCTCTTAAGCTACATATATTCAGTGACATGGAGACAGGGACATTCAATGCCTCATTCCAAGCACACAGCAAAGGAGCTTGTGTAATTTTGTAGTTTGAAGTTACTTTAGAGCCTTCAGAAGGGTCTTTATTTCCTATTCCATGAGAAGGGAGGTAATTGCAGTGGGCAGCACAGGCACTGTATTTCTGCCTGTAGCCAGCAGAAATAGGAATGCATCTGCACTCCTCTGTTCATGGAGGGATCCCTGGGACAGATCCACCCTGCTCTGGCTAAGACCTACACAAGTCTTCTGAGTCCCTCCTCCTAAACCTCCCTTGCTAAACTGCAGCAAGTCAGGTTCAAAATTTACTTTCTGCTCCAATAATTAGCCAGTGACAACACTGACAAAATTCAGACAGTATTATTAATCTTGATTGGCTAATAGTAGGACAAGTTCCAAGTATTTACAGGCTGAGAGAGGCTGATCCCCCCATCCAGGTGTTAATATTTGGGCTGGGAAAGGCAAGGTGAGCAGCAGACAGTTCAGAGCTGTGCTGGCTGTGAAGGTTCTCCAGGCAAGTGTTGGAACAGATCGCAGCCAAATTTAATCTCAAAAAAATAAACAACTTCAGCTCCCACAGTGGCTACACACACTCCAGGAAATGGCTGTATTCTCAAAGGATATTGAAGCAATGTGGTTTGGCTTATTTGGGTTTAAAAATATTCTACCTATAAATTTACTCAAATGCTGTCATAAAAGCCCAGCTACACATCCTGGCAAAATATTGTATGTAAGCCTTCTAATTATATGCATGCCTTCAGCAGATTTAAAAAACAGGCTCCTGAATGTATGTAAAATTAGTTATGTTTAGGAGGATAATTGTTTTTTTCACGAGTTTTTCTTATTTATGTACTTTTAGAAGCAGCAAAGTTATGCAATTCACAGTTTTCAAAAGACCTAACTTTGCCTATTCTGTCAGCCTTCATAATGGAGGAAAAAAGCAGTCACTGTCAGAAAATCAGGTATTTTCCCTAACAAAGCAGCTGCTGCCAATTCTTTTTCAAATCTGTGTTCATTTGGGTTTTTTTCCCTTTTCTTTCTGTTCACATGCAGAGTGAAATCAGACTTGTAGGACAGATCCAGACCATCTGCCCACTTCTTCAGAAAATTTCTTCCCTCTGTTTGCCCTAATTAGCATTTTAATGAATCGACCACATATATTTTTCTTATTGCACCCACTCACTGCACTGCCAGTAGCTTTTGTGTTAACCCCAGCCCAATTGCCAGGTCTGTGGCTCCAGCACTCAGAAGAAAGACAAAGCTGCACCTCCGACTGCTGCACGTGGCCCCTCGGTGATGGTGTTGACAGTGGAATGTGTGCACAGATGGTGCTCATCTATGTGAAAATCCACAGAACCAAAGACCCCCAAACTCTCTCTGCATTGCATTTTGCTACATGGTCGATGTGAATTATGTATAGGGACTGCCCAGAATTGTCAGGAGAGCACATACAGAACTACGTATGGTGTGCTTATGGGTTAGGAATTGTTACTGCATTATCCAACAGTGCTTCTGCTGCAACGGGAGTGTTTCACTTGTTGCATGCACCAAAGCAACAGGAAAAATTAAATTGCCTTGGAAAAGTTCAACCTTGGAAACATTTCTGTCAGAACACCCATCAATTCAGATAACTCAAAATCTAGCTACAGGCCTCAGGTCCTGAAGATTTTTTTATTATTCCTAGATATCATGGTTTAAATACAAGAGATCTGTGTAAGCACTCTGCTAAACAATTTGACTTAACATAAAAGGAAGAAAAAATAAAAGATGCTGAATACTTCTGCAAAGTAACGCATAACTTTACACAATTTATTTTGGTTACTTGACCTATGAACTCGAGTGATGCAGAAAAATTTAGGATATTTGTATTTCTCTAAATATACTAGAAATGAAATCAACATTCAAGAAAGGAGTAAGTAACCAGTAAAACAAAAAAAAAATGGCACTACCTTGGTACATTCTAAATCATCCAGAAGTTTATTTTAGTCATACTCTCTTCAGCTGGCCATGACCAAAGAGCCTTTTAGCTGCTCAGCCAAAGTTACATGTTCTAGTCACATCAGCTTATTTCTACAGCCATGTTACATTTTCTCTTTTCCTACCTTGATTATCTAGCTCTCATCAAAAAAAAGTCACTGAATTAAAAAGTCACTGATTAAAAAGTTTCTCCTTAACTTTTCCCTATTATTCCCACCAAGTTCATAGTAATGTTCTCTTGGATAAACTGATCCATAATTGTGTCAGAAACTACTAAATGGGCAGTATGAGCATTGACAATGACTACATAATTTTAAGTGTTAAATCCTCATTGCTCAAGTGAAGAATGATGTTGAAAAATGAGCTAATCAAAATGTTTAATACAGTTTGTAGTTTGTTTTCTCAAACTCTTCCTAGTTTAGGCAAAACCATTGCCTAAATGGTAGCAAACGTGCTAAGAGGAACACCAAGGGAGACGTTGCAACAAGTGAAGATTTAAAACAGAAACAAAAAGAAAATCAACAAGAATGGGTATCTCTTCCCATAATGTCTAATTGTCCAGGTTGTGCAATATTTCCCTAAGCAAAGGAGCTTTCCAACAGCTCATAACATAACAACTCAGGCCGTAGATTTCTCAGTAAGTGAGTAATTACTTTTGATTTTTAAAATGAACAAACAAGCTGTAAAAAAGAATAAATTGCAAAGTTATCACTTTTCTAGCTTTAAAAAAAAATTGTTGCCTTAGATAAACATCATAGATTTCTTTCATACTGTTGTTGGAAAAGATGGCAAAACAGGGCCCTTTTTTAATCTCCTGTTATTTGGATTTTAAAGATACTTTGATGATTGAAAATGGCTTTTCCAGATCAGGCATTGCATATCCTTTACTTCCCAACCTGCACCAATGTTGTCTCCTAGTTAATCATTACATCACTGAAGGGCTTTGGCAGACTAGGAAAGATCATCTAATGCTAAAATCCAGGTACTTTTCAGCAGGAAATTCCAGGTGAAACATGAAAATTTAAGACTTACAGAAATTCTGGGAAAGATATTGGAAGATCCATGCTTTTCAAAAGGTCTAAATTATTTTAAGTGTGAAACATTTTGAGTGTGAAACATTTTGTACTGTGCAAAACCCCTTCAGCCATCAAATTTAGTGTACACAAAACTAATGAATCAAGTGTGCACACAAACACTGCCTTAAGTATGAAATAGATGCAACATCTGTGGACAAAGAGTCATATTTTAGAGCTGAAAAAAGCTGTTGCAATTAGCACCTATTACTTCAAAACCAAATGCACCTATTTTTATATATGTGTTAGTCTGTAATTACAGGTGGAAAAGAAACTACCATTCTCTTCTCTCTCACCCTCACTAAAAAAGTAGTTATAATAAATGGAAAACTAAGAAGAGTATTGACCTTTTCTGTAATTTATTTCCACAATATTACACCCAACTGAAAGCAACACTCCAACACTGACTTTACTCATAAGTGCTCTGGGAAAAAAAAGCCCTCTGAGTGCACAAGTGCTGACAGGACTGTCCACTGCAACAGAGCAAATACACCTCAGACCCGATTCAGAGAGAGAAAATGAAATGCCATTTTCCTGTTTGCAGGTGCCCTGTAAAGCAGCAGCACACCTTTAAGCAGGGACTGATGTTTGCTGCTCAGCAGTGATGGGATGCCTACAGTCCCAGGTGCCAACACACCAAGGGTCTCAGGTTCAGCAATGCCCACAGGAGTAGTTTGGGTTTCCTAAGCCCAGGCACATGAAACAGGTCACCTGTGAATGGATGTGCTGGCTGGCAGCTGGCACCAGGACCCAGCACCTTACGTGGGCTCCAGCATCTCCCACCCATTAGGAAAACGAGCTGGGATCTTCACAGAAAGCTTACAAAAAGGCAGGACAAACAGCTCGGGCTTACAGCACACCTCAGCCAGCCTTCTTCACCCTCCTACTCACCCCCACACCTGCAACAAATGTTGCCTTGAACTCTAAGGGGAAAAAAAATCCTGACTGAAGAAAATACTTAAAGTTTGCATAAATCACAATCATTTCAAATTCTCTATTCCTAATTTCTTTTCATGACTGTTCATGATGATGTAGCAGTATATCAATTTCCTTGGAGACCAGCACAGTTGGAAGATCTGAGCTGCCATGCAATGTAGATGAAATGAGACTGCACAGATTTTACACTGTTCAAACACAACATTATCTTCACTTTGGGTACATAGCAATTCTGAATTTATAGATGCCACAAATCCCTTCCAGTTCATTATTTCCATTTTGATTTTACTCAAAAGGTTTACCCTTCTGTTTATGGCACATTAAACATTTAGGATCTGTCAGCTGGACATTCCCACTGGCTGCAAACTGCACAGGCAGAAAAGCAGTGTGCTCTGTCATGATAATTTCACCCTCTAACTCCATCCTATGCCAGGTTCTCTCCTCGGTTAACCCCTCTCATTAAGAAGCAGGAGCTCACTGAAGGGCAGCAGGATGTTTGGAAATGTTTGGAAATCAAGCTTGTCAGAAAACTACTGACATTTAACTAAAGAATTATGATGTCATCCTCACATCACAGACAGTCAGAAATCAAAGAATATTTATTAACATTGTCATAATCATACCTTCCCTTTTAAGGATAGGAAACTTCAGCACTACTTGACTTCATGTTTGATGATTTAGGGAGACATATCCTGATTTTGATTTAAACCACAGTAAATTCTGAGGGGTGTAGAAGAATTTAGGCCCCCAATATCTTCAGAATGATGATGCCTCTCAGAAAAAGAAATGTTTGTGTTGCAATGCAATGCTGCAGATTTGTGGAAAAGATCTAAGGCAGCACAACCAAATTGCTTTGAAAATGCAGAGAACTTAAAATCTCTTTTAAAGAGAGATGGATGCACTACCAAATTTTGCAAACTTTTAATCAAAGATGAGCTATATTAACGTGCTGCTACAGGAACTCAATATTTGCCTGTGACAGACCCTGCCAAGGATGAGGCGTTTCATAGTTCAAAAAGTAACATCTTTTCCACAACAGGGCTTACACATCAGGTCTTTATTCTTAAATTGACATTAATCTCCTTGCTATTAGATATTTATTACATGTGACAAGACAGAAAGAATGCCTAAAATAGGCATATTTTAGATAGGTCCAAAAATATGTCTGCCCTTTGATACATATGTCATCACATCATTACAATTACATGTAATGTTATAATTACACCATGCAGAGATTTATGGGGCAGATAAACTACAGAGCAACTATTTGGATCGTCTTTTGATATGACACAATATTTTAATTACATGACTCAGTGCTGTACTTTCAAAGACAGACTGTTAAATGTCCACTCTCACAAAGGAGGGTTCATTTTTATGTATCTATTTTGAATGTGAAATAAAAAGAAACAAATAACAGCCATTTAGAACCTTTTTCTTCATATTTAATTATTATTAATATATTATGTTTGTCCTGTAATTTTGTCAACTGCCAAATGTCAAAGCTCATTGATAGCCATAAACACTTATATAAAGACTAATTTGAGTTTCAAGATCTACTCTGTCACAAAAATCGGGCTCTTCAGGCACAGTTCCAAAAGGTGACCTGGTCCAGAAAAAATGTCTGCCCTCTGAAAAAAGCCAAAACCTACATTTATGTGCAACATTCCTTACAGTGTTTTTAAAATGTTTAAGTTATATATGGTGAGTACAGTTCACCTTGGGTGAGTCTCAATATTTCACAACCAGTAAAATGCCAGTGGTGTTAAAAGTCACATCTTTAGAAGCAGCAATGAATTTGGCTGAGTGGAGGAGTCAAGGCTAGGTCAGTGACACCTAGTATAGTCACTCACTGCCCTCTTCCTCCCCTTTTAAAAATAAGAAAACCAAACAAATATGGCTTTATATAGCACTGAGGAGGAATTTATTTCAAAACCTGCACTTAAACCCTCAAAAGAAAAGCAAGTCAAAGCATTCTGGGCTGCCATTCAGTTCCCAGCCTTTTCCTTCCCAACAGAGAGCTGGCCAGAATTCCTGAATTGCTACAGGTATCATAAAACAAGCTCCAAGGCCACCTTTGCCTCGCTAAGCTCAACAGCTGTTCATCCTCTCTCCGTATAAACCTTTTCCTACACTGTGAGGTGGATAAATTCATGCAGATGGCTTTGGTTCCAAGTAAACATACTCATCTCATGGCAATCTCCAGCACACCCTTGCCAATTACAGGACTGCATCTACCATAAATACATGACCCATCAAACCCAGTAACACAACAGATTCCAGGGATTCAAGAATCAAAAATACCCTCAGATATTCATATGCATCTGCCACCAGCCTCACACACACATCTCAGTGCCTTTGAAACAACACAGTAAATTCAATATTCACGCTTACTTCTTCAAGTCTGTTTTCACTTACTCTAAGGTACATTATTCAGCACCACAACAGCTATAAAATTAAAAAGCAGAATTTATCACACGATGGAGAGAGATTCTATTAAACTAACATAGCTGATCTTTTCAATAATTTAACCCTCTTCCTTTCTATACAAAACATTTTAATCTGTGAATATGCTGATACCAAAAGTAATACTCACAGTTGCTTATAACTCCCCCAAGTGGGTCACCCTTGAAATCAAATTCAATATCCATGTATTTTCCCTGTGAAAGCAATAGATTTTAAGATTAACTCTTCTGTTTAAGAAAAACCGCTCAAGACATTAAGTTAGTTGGTTGGGAGGTTAGAAGAGCGTTCTGACAAACTCCTGACATATTTTTGAAAAACAGAAAATTATTTAAATCTTCTGAGACATTATCACAGCCAGGGATTTTTATGAAAACAGCTTTAATTGGGTCTGTAAAGCAGCCCAGTAACTTGCTCAGTTTCTGTGGTTCTATGAAGAAAACGCATATTATACAAACTTCCATCAGAGCGCCAGGAACACCAAACAATCCCTGTAGCCATTTAGGTATCGCCATGCTTATTTCCTGAAGGATGCAGGAAGAAATTATCTTGTAGGCAGCCTTCTTTTCTCACTGGGAGCTCTCAGAGCGCGAACCAAGGCGGCTGAAGGAGAGCCGCTCAGTCTGGCCCGAAGCAGCGGCTGGCAGCGAGCGCTGCTCGTAATCGCGGGACGTCTGTCCCTGAGCGCGTGCCTGCCTTGTAAAAGTGATGGATTCTTCCCGCTGAACTCTTTCCCTTGTAACTCAGGAGACCAGAGGCAACAATTAACGGGCAGCACAAGCGATTTCAATCCCAGCCGCGCTGGCGCACCGCGTTTCCTTGACTTCTGCTTGACTTTTCCACATCACAGGAGATCACTCCGGTCTTTGGATCGTTTTAATTTATTTGACAAGTGCTTAATGTAGTAACAGCTACATTTAACTGTGACAAAAAGGACAGACTGTGCAGGAAAGGCAAAAGCAGTGCTGCTCATACTGGCAAGGGAGTTAAGAAAGATAAAGGCTGCTGGTAGTAATTCAGCCAAATTCCACCCTCTGGCACAAACTTAACAGAGGACACTGCTCACCGTCAGGGAGGTGAGGCACTGCAACAGGCTACCCAGAGAAGCAGGGCAGGCTCAGGGCTCTGAGCAACCTGGTCCAGTGGAAGGTGTCCCTGCCCATGGCAGGGGTTGGAATGATATGGTCTTTAATGCCCTTTCAAACCCAAACCTAAGATTCTAAGACAAAAACAGCACCTTGAAAAGCCTTATATTTATACTTATTCACCACATGTAGGAAGAGATTGGGTTTTCTTTATTTTTCTATTTTACTTTTTATTACAGAACATAAAAACCAAGCAATTTACACTGACTCACTTTAAGATATTTTCTAATTTACTGTGTATTTTGTCAAGATTGGCTTGACTCTACCTAAACTCTATTTTCCTTCCTGTACTGCCTTGTTCAAGGTTAATTCTGAGCTGATTCAAATTTCAGAAATAAAAAAATTAAATCAGATAATTAAATTTTCATTTCCCAAGGACTGGGACAGCTGGGTGTTTCCAAAAGTATTTTTAGCTCAGTGTTTATAAGCAAGGACTTGAAAGGCAAAATAGCTGTTAGTTCTACTTTGGCCTGGAAAGACTTATGGGCTGTCTGCTCATCATTTCTGTAGTGTCATGTCTGATAATTGCAGTCTTCCTGTCCTTTCTATTAAAAAAATAAATTAAAAAAACCTCTACAGGTGTCCCAAATTTTGGTCTTGCCCTTGTGATGAAGATTTGCTCTGTTCACAATCAGAGGCAATGAGCTGCAGAAGGAACATTCACAGCCACGTGGAACATCATCAACTCTTGAGAATTAGAAGGGGAGGAAATCTCTCAAGTGGAAAAAAAAGCCGCTCTCCAGTCTCACAATGTCCAGCACTTCTACCCATTTGCCTGAACTCACAACACACCATTCTCCCACTGTATTGATTTCCCTACTCTTGTCAACTTCACACATCTCACAGTATTACTCTTCTGGACACAAGTGTGCAAACAACAGAGTTGTATTCAGCTTTCTGATTTTAGCAGGAGAAACTATGATAAGCACTCACACTTCTGAACCTCTCAACTCTAGCATCAACTTTTCTGGTTTTCCAGCTGTCAGTTCTGATAATTTCTCATTCAGATTCATGCCCAAAAAAAGGTTAAATTCAACCAGTTGATTATAAAGAATTTAAGCAAAAAAACCCACAAAACATTATAAATGTTCATATTAAAATTAAAATTGAAAACACATTTTGAAACATTACTGAAAGCAAATGGGAATCTAAAGTAGTAATCTTAACCAAAAAAAAATACATATGAATGGAAAACAAGATCACATGGAAAGCTCGACTTGCTAAGCAGACCAGTTGCTGGACACATGGTCTCTGACACTAAAGCCACCAGTGCCAGAAAATTAAAGAATCCAGCTGCACTGTAATTATGTTTTCATCCAATCACAGGCTGCCACATCCTAATTTTGTTTTTCTTTTTTAGCCTCTGCTTCAATATTCAATTGAACTCTATGCCCATATCAGAAACCAACAAGATTTCTGGCAAGGAGCTGAAATATCTTTTAAGAGGTATCTCTAATAGTGCCCCACTAAAATACTGGAGAGGGAGAACATGCTCCTGTGTACAAAATGAAATACTGATTGCTGCTGAAGCTGGTTACCTTCTTCAAGCACCACGGTCCTCAGACCGAGACAACAAAGCTCCCCAAATAATTCCTTCCCTCTTTATGGATGCCTTGATGGTTGACACATGGTAAAACAGAAAGAGCCAAGAGACAGCACACTCCTCAAAAATGACTGAAGAAAATACTTACAAATCTAGAGGAGTTGTCATTCCGCACAGTTTTGGCATTTCCAAAAGCTGGTGAAAGAGAAAAACAAATACAACAAGCAAATCTATCAGTAAAAAAAAAAATCTTTAAATGCTAAAATATCTAGGTCTGCTTATATATTTAAAGGAACTACAGACTTCTGAGAAACAATGCCCTGTTCATTGTATGGGCATCAGTCACTGGGGACAGAATGTGACAGACATGATCACAAATTACAAGAACCTACAGAAGTCCAAAGAAGTTTTTTCTCAACACTTGTCTTGTTTAAAAAAGCTAAAGAAAAACAAGAGGAAATGGTTCCACAACAAAACTGTACCCACATTAAGCATGTATCTTTGGGGTTTCAATCAACAAGTTCATAATTTTATTATCCAGATAATTTTAAATATAGGAAATACTTCTTCCTCTTAATTTCAGAAAAATGAGTCCTAGTTCCCAGAATATGTTAAAAGCTGGAGGCCAGAAGTGAGGAAATTACAGAATGATACTTAAAAATTATCTGCATAGGACAGCCTAATCAATGCTTTGAAATTGATTTATTTACCCCATTTCAACTCATTAATCCTACCTCAAGCTGAATATCAATCAGCTGAAATCAGTCAGATTTACAGTGAAAGTCTGTCTTCAGCTTGACCTAAACTAGCTTTCTGAAAAGCTTGGTTCAAATTTCTTTAGCTCAAGTTCTATGACAATGAAAATTCTCTGAGAAAGGACTTCCCAGGGCTGCATTCAGATGGACAGACACCATCTTAGAGCATGGACAAGAACTTGGACTGGAGGATAATTCAAGCTCTAAAACTCACACATTGTCCAAGCACATGGAGTCAAACAGGAGTGTCCCCTCCATCATTAAGCACAGCACTTCTACTTCCAACAAGAGACTTTGTTTATCCCAGTATTTATTTAAATAGCATATATATATATATATTCGAAGTTCAAGTCAAGTCAATGTTTTTTGGACAGAAATAAATACATGCCTTTAGGCTTCCACAAACTTGCATGAGTGGACTTATTCTTGACCAAAGAACTACAGCCAAAATGAAAAGTTTGTTGATCCTAAAGGCCAGGATAAGTGAAAGAATTGTTTTTAAAATCTTTATGCCCTGCAATAAATCATCTTTTCAACAACCAAATCTCTGAACTGCATTTTCTTAAACACAGTGCTGAACAGTAAAGTCATTTATAACTGCATGGAGTCAAGCACAAATGTTCCATTATAAAGCATGAGACACATTCCTTGGTTTTCCTAAAGTTCATTGTTTCTAAAAGTTAATTTACAGTAGCAACTGTAGTTTAATAAAAATAATCCCATAAAATAAATTATGCATATGTAACATTTATGTCATTTTCTTGCACTGCAATTTGACTGAAACAGAACTACATAACCAAAGAAAAATAAATCTAACCACAAATGCTTCATTTGTCTAAAACCTGTATAAGCAGCCACGCTTGCTCAGATTTTATTCCTTATGGAACAAGCCAGTGTCCAACCTTCCAAAAAAGCTAAACAGGCATTACCAGCAGATCAAGTAGAACAAACAGTACCTTAAAATGATAAGGCAACCTTCAGTAAGCTTAGCTGATTCCTCTTGCATTAAAACAAAGCTTCACAAACCAACAAGAAATCAAACCCATTTGGCAGCCCCTCAGGAACAATAGAGCTTTGGCAAGAAAAGCCTCCATACCCCCCATGCCATCTCTGTCTAGATCTGAAATCTGCTTCCAGAACAGTGATAAAACAGCACAGCTCTTCTCTGTGAACCCAAAATAATAGCAGGTTGCAATCCCCCCCATTCAGCTTTAAGGGGAACACACAGCTGACTGTCAAAGAAAGGCTTATCCAGCACTTCTATTATTCTTAAATGTCAACATTTCATCTCCTTTCTTTAAAGTCTTTGCTTACAATTTCTGTTTTGTGGACAAAGATCATGTTTTAACCATCCAGTTCCCCACTGCTCTCTGCTCAGTTTCTTGCATTTCCTGTCCTTTTTTTTTTTAAACTTTTCCCTCTGTCCTCACTTGCAGAGTCTTTGTCTCCTATAGGCTCCAATTCATCACATATAAGCAAGGCAATAAACATAATGTTGACACTCGACAGTCTTTGCAAACACCACATATGATCTGGCCATAATGCAAAATTGCCTTTTGACAACTGACTTTGTCTCAGCACCACAACAGCTTTGTAAATTCTGGGAAAGACTGAGCCAGGAGTACAATCGATCTAAATAAGTCAATGCTAACCAAGGAACTTGTGAAGGCAGTTATTAGATAATGGGACAGAACTGCGAGCTTTGAGGATCATCTATCCTATCTCCAGAAAAAAAAAAAAAAAAAAAAAAAAAAATTCTGGCAATGAACATCTTTAAATTAAAATTACTAATTAAAAAAATAAAAGTCTTTAATGGGAGAGCAGGAATGGCAGCTGTCAGGAAGAACAGGCCAATAGTCACCAGACCCAAGAAACAATAAGTCTCAGGGAACAACAGGCATGCATACAGATTGGCTTCATTTTTTCTAAGATCATTTCTTCACCCTTTTTCTTTCTTAAAAGAGAAATAATGCCTTACAGAACTTGTTTGTTTACTTGAGACTATAACAATATGATTTGGAAGGAAATGAATCAGAGGGATTGAACTGAAGTCAAGTCTTTTGATACAGACAAGCATCATCAAGGCAGGGTTAAGAGAGGGTAAGCCCACTGAGAGCAGCAGGAGGAGGCTGGGAAGTGTGACCTAACTTCCTGAGCTCTTCCTTCATGAGGGAAACCATCTTCCTCCCGATGAAACCTACACACAACTGAAGAAAATCTTGCAGGTGTATTGACATGAAGCATCTCCTATTGTTTTGGACACCAAATAACAATGAAACATCATCAGACACAGTTTTCCAAACCAGCTCAGCTGGAACACCAGCACACCCACACAGCTAATATGCTGGCGCATACTCTGTGAGATTCTTACCTTCAAGGACTGGATTAGACTGCAAAAGTTGTTCTTTTACTTGATTAACCTCTGCCCCTTTTCCACACACAGCAGCTACATATGACATGACAAGTTTGCTTGCCTCTGTGGGGGAGAGACAAATAAAACAGTGATAAGCATTGGCAAAAAGACTGTAATATGATTTTACAGACTAAATCTCCATCACATTTTCTCAATGCCAGACAGGAACTGTGAGCACACTCATTTCAGTTTTCACCTCCATTGTTGTACCATCTGGAAATGCAGAAGGAGCATACCCTGCTCTGAGACCCATGCCACTACACCAGCAAATTCTCTTGATTTAAATACCGAGAGCCTCTACCCAAGCTACAAAAAAAACCACCACTGAAGATACAGCACATTACCTGCTCCTTTTCCATTTAGCCTCAGTAAGAAGTATTCTTCAAGGGAAGAACATTATCCCCTGCTGACACATTGGAAATGTTTTAATCTAGCCTGAAATTAAACAGGCTCAGGAAGTTTCAAGGCATAAAATTCAATCAGTTTATATCAGCAGATACACAGTAAGTGCAAACACACAACACTTTTACGTGTAATTACAACTCTAATCTACAAGCAACTGAGTAACTGCAACATCACATAATGTGCTGCAGTCTGGAAGTAAAGCCAACAGAGAAAGTGAAGCATTCATTTAAACAATAAAATTAATTTGGAGATGCTTTTAAGAAAGTCTGGAATAATTTTTGGACTCTTGAAGCTGGGTTTATATGAGTGACAATCACCCATGATAGAAACAAAAATTATGTAATCCATCCAAGCCTTAAGTTTTTGCTGGTCAGGAAAAAGCAGCTGGAAAACCATTTTGTTTATAAAGAGTCTGTGATGGCTACTATGATGCAAGACAGTGAAATTTGAGGCAATATCGGCTGATACACAGTGTAATTACTAACAGCTGGAAACCCTATCAATTCAAGACTGTGGTCATAAAACGAAATCATTATATTTGTAACAGATCTTCAGAGATCTGTTACAAATTTAAGGGGCTCATTTCGGAAAGAACTGACAAATGAGATGTTATCCCTTGGATTTTGATTTTTTCCTATTTAACCAAATTTGTTTGTTAGCATTATATCACTATCCCATGCTGTAGAGGAAACTGAGCAAACCTGCCACACAGGAACCAAGCAAGGAGCAAAAACTATAGGTGTGTTCAGAAGGCCCCCATCTGCTTTATTTGTGTCTCAAACCCAGCTCTCATTTTTGACTCTGTTCCCTTCAGAGCTTGGAATTACCAAATTATTTGAAATATTTTCTAAAACAGTCAACATCTTTAAGCACAGGCACTCAATCACTGAGAGAAACATTTATCAAAGCAGAAAAAAAGCTATTATAATAGATTACACACAATGACTTCAATATAGGCTTTGAACATCAGTAAAAGAAAATAAAGGCCCTTTCTCTTATTAAGAACTCTGTTTGGCCCAAGAAAGACATCAGTAAGAGAGTTATCACCCTAATATTTCAAAACATTTAAATATTGTTCTGGTGATGTACCATGTTTTCTTATCCAATATTACTATCAGTTAACATTAAAAACACACAGAGAAACAAGGACAAAATTGGAAGTAAATAAAAAGAGCCAACTGATGACAGTTCAGTTTCAGTTCTTCCAGGACAAAAAAATGACAAATATTCTGGTTACCAAAAATTTAAAACACAGTTATATAGTGTATCTGTACTAAGAAGCTTGTTTCCTTCACTCCAGAAACTTCCTACCCTCTCCTCCCCCTATTCTGTACTTACCTTTATAAAAAAGGAATAATCCATATTATTTCCCATATGGCTATAAAAATTACAGAACAGTCAAAATCTCTACACAAATTTAAATCTATTATTTACACATAGAGAAGTTCAACAGCTCAACCTCTGATTCACCTTTCAAATGAATAAATCAATAATAAGTGTACCCCAGTTGTATGAGGTACTTGATAATTCACAGTTTGTGAGGAAATCGAGACATTAAACACCAGCAGCACAGGACTCTTTGCTAAAGTCTGAACTTCTAGACAGACCCTCAAATAGTCATATTAATAAGAACTTGGGTTTTTCAATCTACACTTCTTCTGAATATATTTTCCTGTCATCAAACAGTAAATAAGGATTATATTAGACGACTTCCAGATCTCTCAATTGGATGCCACTAATCAAAGAGCACCAAAGATGATGCCTACACTTTATATGTACACAAAAGCCTTTGAAAGCAACTTCCTGTTACCTACTTTGAGTCTTGCCCAGAATAAGCACACAAAGCCCCACATATTCTGAGATGCAAAGGCAAAATCTCTCAAATTACTTGGAAACAGATGTATGCCTTCCTACCCGCTGTCTCTTTTGCAAGTCACCTCTGTTTTAAATTGCTGTCTTTGAAAATAACTGGCTTCTTTCTTTTTTAAGGTCTACCTAAAATGTACTGCAGTTACACAATCCTCACTTGGTTTCTAACCTTCCAGTTTAAAAACTAGCAGTCATTTTCAAGGAAATGTCAGCTTTGCCTAAGAAACTCAGTGTTCTGGCACACAAGCCAATCTTAGCGCTGCAGCTGAGCACAGTGTGCAAAAGGCTGATAAAATTTCCAAAGTAATCAGCTACAGTTATTTATTTTCCTTAGATAAATAGCATAATCCAGTTTTTAAAGGCATATATTTATTGAGAGACAAGTGGAAGCATCAAGTCTAGAAAACTCAAGAGCATTCAGTTTTCCATGTCTTCAAGTTTCCCACCAGGACAACCTAGATGTTTTTTGGCCCTTGCAATACTCTGGGACAAGTCAGCATTGCTTTGGTACAACTCTGGATACTGATGAGGACACTGTACTAACATGACGTGGGACTTCAATGTGGTGACAGTGTGGAAAAACACTATTTTACATGAGTCCATAGCTGCAGAAGCAAGTGTGGCAGCACTGACTTTCTGCAATGACCAGACACAAAGAGTTACTGACATCTCTAAACTCCTACCCACTCCAGCTTCTCTCTGCAAGACTCTGAAGAACCCTGAATGGTTTTTAATCTGATCCTCATTGCTCCTTACCTGTTTTCCCAGCTCCACTCTCTCCTGTGATAAGGATGCATTGGTCTTTGTCTTGGTCCCTTAAAGACCTGTAAGCTTCATCAGCCAGAGCAAAGCTGCAAAGAAAGAAAGAGACAATTGAGAATTAGGAAAACAAAACAAAACAAAACCTTACCAAACACCGACAGTAATTAAAATCTGACCTTCACACACCTAGGAAGAAGGAAAAAAAACAACAAAAACCAAAGCCCTCCAAGTGTTAATGTTCCATAAGTGGTGAAGCACTCACTTTTCTGAATATAAAGACCCTCTAAAGCAAGTGGATACTATTTCTCAGAGGCTTACTTAGACCTCCTTCAGAAACAAGCAAAGATAATCTTGAAGTTTTCCTAAAGACAGCCAAGTCAAAACAAAATAATAGAATTTAATGGAAGTGTAGCTATCCTTCTTCATTGAACAAAATGTCATATTCTCCACTGAAAAAAAAGTCAATGCAACATCAGGGCATGGCTTGTCTGAAGGTATCTCTAAGATAAAGGAAAGAGAACCCTGAGTAATAATTACACCATAAGCCACAATTTCTACTCAGTAAGAATAAATCTCACAACCTGAGCATTTTAAGCTTTTGGGTATAGCTGGACTTGTGCATGAATATGAAGAATTATTTCCTACTAACTGTGTTCTTAATCCAATAAGTGTGATGTCATGTAAGGAACCTAAAGAATATAATAAGAACCAACAGATTTCCTGTATCAAAAATGTATTTTCCTGGAGCTCAGGATATCATGACCCTGAAAGTCTTGGGCTGCAATTTGAATCCAGATGTGCTCTGCTGCCATGTAATAACATATACTTTGGAGAAATGCAGATGTTTTACTTATATTTAGCTTTCTTTAGTAGTAATTTTGAGACATAATAAAGATTTTCTTTCAACTGCACTTTTCAATTAATGGAATGAGGTACTCTGGAAACTAAGCATTTTCCCTTGGAAAAACTTAAACAAGCAGTATCTGAAAAAGGACATGAAAACAAAATCCAAATAAAAAGGCACACGTGCATAACCCAATTAAAGAAAAAATATGATATCCAAACACGGCATATTTTTACATGAAATAAACAGATGTTCAACAGACCAAGAGCTTTGTTAGATTACTGCATCTAGTCAGATATTTAGTGTTTATATATACATATCCAAAAGTGGATATTGTTTATTATTTACAACAAACAAACCACGTATAAAAAAAAGAAATGAACTCTCAGGTCAACATAAGATGCAGAATCATTGCAGGTTCAATGCACTTTTTAGAAACTTGATTCTTTATTTTATAACAGTTCAGGGGCTTTGCATTCAGCTGATAACAGCAAACAGATCACGTATTTGTTTGGGACAACATAGGTATATGGTGCTTTTTATTTTCCCACAGGCATCCACAGCTCCTTTACAAGCAAGAAAAGAGCAAGCTCTGTCATGACAGCAGTTATGGGGAGCAGGAACCTCGCAATGCAAGCAGTGGGAGACACACAGGGCCTCTTCTAGAGGCTCCTACTGCTGCCATTTGAAAGCTTCAAGTATCAAACCTACAAATACTAAAATTAGTCCAAACTTAGAGCTACCATTGTCTCTCAGCTTCAGGCTTCTCTCCCCAAAGGGTTCATGAAGAGCATGACATGTCTGCAATTTATCACCAGATGCATGTGCAACACCGTTTTTTCTACTTCCTCATCCCTCACCTGCATCAGACTCATCTCACATTTGCTTATTTGGGTTTTGGTTTTGTTTGCCTCTTTGGCTTTATGGTCACATCATGTTACCAGCCCAGCCACCCTGCAAGGGACCCAGGTAACCAAATGAGGGGCATTCTGAAAGATTTGGAAAACAGGGAAATGAAATACCTTGCAGCTCCTTTGCTCCTAAGCAATAACACCCTCCCCTCCCTCTCCAGGGCCTGCCAAGGATGCTCTCGCCATGGTTTCCACCCTCTTTGTGTCACTCCCATCCTCTCTCCTGCTGCACACCTGCCTGCCCAGCACCATGAGCCGCCCAGGGCTCCACCTCTCTCACTGCTTTTCTCCAGCCTGCTTTGTCCAAGGCACTAAATTACAATTCTCCCCTCTGCACAGATGGCTGGACCATCCACTTAACACCCGTGATCAAAGGTCATTAACTCCTTTTGATACGCATCCCACCGAACCCGGAGCAAGGCTGATCTCTCAAACCCTAACACCGCTGCGCTGATTGAAGCACTTGAACTCAGTAGTTCAGCTGGAGGTGAAAATGTGTTTACGAGAGAGTAGCAGGCTGTAATGTTTTTAGCATTGCAACAAAGTCACATTGTGATGTGGCCAACATGCTGGAGAGCTAGCAAAAAAAATATAAAATATTCTGCTGCTGCTGCTGAGAGACCATGACACAATTTCTGGCACCCATTTTACTGTTTGGAATCCAAACTACAGTAGCAATAACACTTTACCAGACGCTGTTACGGGACACATTTAGGAAATTAATAATATTTGCTGAAAGTTGCTGCAGATATACTTGCAATTTGAAAAGTACAACAACACTCAGAAAAACTTATTCCAGCACAGATTACCTTCCTTTTTGCGAGGAAAAAAATTAAAAATAACAGGATGAAGATGAAAGAAATAAACTGCACTGAGTATTCATGGGCCACATGAGACAAACTTTAACAATAATGCTGTGATTTCCACATGTTTGACTGAGGGAAACTGTCTTTCAGCAAGAAGATAATACTCTGAGAATCTTTTCAAATTTACAGACTAGATGGCTCATTCTGTGCCTCTTGTCCTTCAAACAATCATGGCCATCAACTAGTTTTTCACTTCTGAAACAATTTTCTTGGCAGTAGTTTCACACTTGAAATCAGCATCAAGCACAGAGGAAGTATTCTCTGTTGATATACTGAGTTACGAGTTAATCAGCTTAGTACCCATTCATCTTTTCTAATACACTGAATTTAAGTTTCTCAACAGCCCCTGTCAAAATGTATTTAACTGTGTGATGTATTTATTAACTCTGCCTGCACTGCATAGTTAAAGACACAAATTCATGTTTTTTCTCCTTCCTCCACAGAAAAACTGAGAGCCTAACACTGAAAAGAGTTTTCTGAAGTTGGAGGAAAGAGGGGGATTTCATCCAGTTCTGGTTTAATCCAATCTAGTCAGAGATTTTGTGCCATTTTATCCAATCTACACAACCCACAAAGCCTAATATTCCACCAGGGTATCAAATATTATCTACTACAGACAAGAGAAAAAATAAGTCAACTCATTTCAAAAGCAGTTTTGCATAAGTACTTATCAAAAGTGACCCAGTAGAAGTGTTGCAAAATCTACCATTGATGTTTCAACCACAGTTCTAACAATCCAGTTGGAGAAGGAATAACCAAGAGTCCATTTAAACAACTAAGACCCATCTGTCTGGCACTTTGAAAGAGCAATAGCACATTTCTGTCAGTCTGAACAAAGATCTTTATCTCAAAGAAAAAGACAGATCTATTCAGATGCCATGCTGACTGTCATGGCTCAACATTACACCTCACAGTCCTTCCTATCTATTATCAACATCTATCTTTACAGTAACAGAAAACCCAAACAAAACCAAATTTGAGTCTTTTAGTTCAAATTCTGGTTAAAAAACCAGAATTTCATGCTCTTCCTTATTTGTTAAAAAAATAATTTCATTTAAGGTCATTTAAGTTGAACACATATTAATGGTCTATAGACCACAAGGAATCTTAGCCTTTTCCTTTTAGCAACATGAAGAGACATGGCTCTGTGCAGTCAACATTTGCAACCATGAATTTAAACCACATACCACTCTTCAAGCCACCTCACAATTACAGAGCCTAAGTAAAATTTTAGAATAGTTTAAAAAGCAGTTATAAACCATGTGTTTCGAATTAGCTGATGAGTGCGTCAGCAGCATCAGTTACCATACCTTATAATAAGCTCTCCTTTGATTTTTAGGTTTTCATGGAGGAAGATGACATTCTCTTACCACAACAAACACAGAAATATTTACTGGAGTTCTCTTTTAGCTAAGACTTAAGTATAGAAGCAATTTGAAATCGAAATGCCGCCCACACCTAGCTCAGTAAGAAGGCTCTGCCTCTTTATGGAAAGTTCAGCCACGGGCTCCAGATGGCCAGATCCCTCGCAAAGTCCTAACCCAAAAATTTAACCAAGGGAAGCAGCATAGCCCTCCAAGGGAGATTTCCAAAAGGCTCTGGCAATTTTCAGCATCTCAACAGCATCTCTGTGCTCAAACAGTACGCTGGGGTCAGGAAGAGACAGGAGAAAGGTTCCCACCTGCTCACCCTGAAACAAGCAGTAAGTGCTGCATTTGAACACTCCAGATTGTACCCACAATTACAAAAGCCATAAAAATCTCACTCTTATAGTCAGAAATTCACTTCCCAGGAGCAGCTTTTCCACCATCTTTTTCCTATAAGCCAAACTCCCCAGGATCAGTATTTGCCAGATACTGGTACTCTGTGCTATCATTTTCATTCTCCCTTTCATTTTTCCTAGCATTCTCAATTAAAAGTAACTAGTAAACACTATTTTAAATTCTCTCTCTTTTAAATTCTCTCCAATTGCTCTTCTCATGCACTAATAGAGTGATTTCACTTCTTCACCAGCTGTTGCTTTGATTCAGAGATCCTTGGTTCCCATTTCAGAACATCTATTGCTTAATCTTGGCTATTGGCTGACAACTTGTTTGCTGCTTTCAAAGGAAATGAGGAAAATCTCTTTTCTTGACTGCTCCAATTCCTCATGAGGCAGAGTCCTGGTACCAGGTCTCAACTGCTCAGGTACCAGGGTTCATTTCTGCCCAAACATGTCTAAACACACTGGCAGGATGCTACAGGCCAGGATGCTTACCAAAAACTATAAACCATGCTAGACTAAAAAGAACAGCAGTAATACTTAAATTGTGCATGGACTATTAATATAAACTTTACATAAAATGTAATTTAATTATTTAAAGTTTACTTAGGATCATCATTTAATTTCCTTCCTTCTCTTTCTGAATGCACAAAAGTGCTCAGTAGCAGGGTAAAGGCAAAGAAATTATTTCTTTCTCTCATGACAT